TTTGCATGAATGTCATTGGGAAGGGATCTAGACGATTTTTGCTTTGTTCTATCCTTCGCTTAACTGATTATGGAGCCTATGAGGTTCATTTTGAAAAGCAGTCACCCGGTTTCGGGTCCCTGACTTTTTCACCGTTGTGAGAAATCACGGACTTTCACGAACTGGGACCTTACCCTTACCCTCTTAAGCGATGACGGTTGGCCATAATGTGATAATATTGGTGATAGCAGCAGCAATTTATTTGGGGATTTTCAGCAGCATACTGATTTTACAGATGTGGCCATTATGGAATATTCATAAGTTCTTATGCAAGTGTGAATGCTCTTCACATTTTTACACCGATATTGGTAATCCCTGAGTGTAATAAGGGGCGACAAGAGGACTATGGCCGAATCGTCGATGTGTCGCTAGCTTTTGACCACTCACCATCCGTCATGGCTGAACTCCGAGTGGGGGGGTCAGAGTCTAGTCCCCTAACCTCGCGCTGACATCCTCAGAAAGGTTTTCTATCCCCTTTTGAAGCTTTTAACGATAATTCGGCAGCTGAACTGGGTGGAAGTCGTAGCTCATGTAACTTCTCTGCCGACAATGACAACCCTCACCCCTAGGGTTCAGTATTGGGGCCTCCTTTCTTCTTACATCTGTAGAAGACCTGCTCTGACACTTTTCCTTCGAAATTCCCTTCTTCGCTGGTGACGTGGAACTGTGCTGAGAAGTCAGAATTCATCAGGAAAATATTTACGTACAGGAAGTCCTAGACCTACTTCAAAACTGGGTAATCAACGATGAGCTTGCGTTTGTAGCTGAAAAATGCAAGGATGCACATCTAAAATATGACCAATGTCACGTTTGCTGCCTCAATGCTGTTGGACTAGAAGTGTCACAGGTGGAGAAGGTGTTGGTTATCCAGTTCCTCAAGGCTCAGAGTCCCAACACAAGTGCGGCGGTAGCGTACCTCCAGGAAAATTGGGGCTAGTAGTTCTCGAACAAATTTCTGGAGAAACCGGTCGCAGATGTTCCTGGTAAACATTCAGAAGCTTTATAGGCCTAGCTTAGAGTTTGTGACAATCGTCCTACCTACCTTTCTGTAGAAGGAGGCGGCCGACCAAATCCTGTATACAAATTAGGCTTAAAACAAACGAGAAACAACCAGTGGTACCTGATTTATATCCATTGGGATATAGAAAATCAAAGCAGAGCAAGGTGATGGATGAGAATGTCTTGAACACTCTGGGACACCCACTCCTGTATTTGTTTAACCACAGCCATACCACCAGACTTCGAGAACACGTAATGAAGCCAGGTCTAGGACCCAGCAGACGTCCTGCTCAAACCTTGGCCCCTCCAAAACGTTTCCACCGAATACATTTCATCGGGCTCTTCCTTTTCGGTCTGTTTTGATCTCTGAAATATGCCTTCAATGGGTACCATGTGCCCTCGCATCTTTCTAAGATAATTTCAAACTGTCACTCCTCAGGCCAAAACGGAACAAAGAAAAGCCTTTGTACCGAATGGAGATGGACGTATGGACAATCAAAAGTACCACGCGGTACTGTTCTCAAGACACCCATATCGAATTTCGGATTTTTGTGTTGGCTGACTGAACTGCCGCCACTGTAGTTATGCTTGAGTCCGTACCCATCATGAAGTTCGGACCGGACGTCAATGTTATACCAGCTACCAGTTCCACAGTACGACCTTTTAAACCATTATTATGAGCAACATTCGAACGTAACAACTATTTCTTTCAAAAATATGGCACGGGTGTATCTGTTGAGACATTACCTGCTGAAAAGTCCTCAACGCAACAAGCATGTTGTTCGGGGTGAGATGACCACTTTTATTGATTTATTTAAATCAGGCACAGCTTCTACTCCTTAAGAGTTGTTAGATCCTAGGGCCTTCGCTCTGCAGTGGTGGTCCCTGCTAGGTGATGTGAATCCCTCAAGGAACAATTCGACACCTGCTTACTATGCGGATGGCAGTCCACTCAAAAAAACCTTTCCCTTTTTTCCACATCCACCTTCTCTTTATTTGTACATAAGTTAACAAGTAGAGGGATCATGGCTCACTGCCTCTAGACAGAGGGCCCAGTTACGGAATGGCTTCATTTCTTCCGCTACCAAACGCCTCAAGGTATTCGGAATGAGCCGGAAGGGCATCAGACAGAGGCCATACAGATTAAGTAAGGTACCGATGCACTTGTAAGTAGCTGGGGTAGTAGGCTATTAGTGAGTGAACGTCTGAGTTCCTTTTTGGGATCGTCTCTAGAATGGCGACAGTTGCGCAGATTTACATGTATTTCATCTTCCCAGAGTTGAGCAACTGTCTGATCGCAGTTTCCGTTCGAATTAGGATGTCTGGAGAATTTGAGAGCTGAAAAAGGTACAAAGTGGTACTCAATGATCTGGATGAGGTTGCCGCTAGGTACTACGGTGATTCAGAAACCACATCCGCTATCTTCCGCAATTTTAGGAGACATGCTTAGTTTATGTTGTCGCGGTAAGTCGCAGTGATTAAAATAAACCCAGTCTGAAACACCAGATGTTTGCATACGTATATGCGTTTCATTAGAAGAGAAGCAACTCTATCCGCCACTTTTCCAATGAGCTGGACGTAACGCATTTCACTGTCCATCAGTGAAGCTTTTCCGAAAGTCATGTGCGCCGACCCAACTATCGAAACTATTAAGCCTACTTTAAGAATTTCTTTGTTTCATTTATTAGAAGCTACCGGCCTGCATTCAGGCAACCTGCATGGTGTTCAGCTTCTGCGACCAGGAGATGGCCAATGGTGTAAGGTTTGTTTTGGGTATGTACAAGTCTATCACATAGAGTGCATTTACGACGATGACATTCGTTATAGACAGCTGCGCAGCGGAAATGACCCTTGAAGGGGACAGTACCTTCTAGTGGGCAGATTATTCTATCTTTCCTTGTTGATTTCGAGATCACTCAGAGAGTTTTAACGAGCTAATAAACGGACGCGGTCATGGAGATTTTCTTTTATCACCAACACGGCAAATGAGGCATGAAGATGCGTTTCCCACCCAGGATATCTCCTGCATATTTATGGTTTATTGTTAAAAATGACATTCTCATTATCTGTTTCGAAACCTGAATTTCTGCATTGTGTATTTGCTTTCTTACTTGAGCCTTTGGGAGTAGGGTGAAGGTACCTAACTGTTGGCTCCGCATATCATTCATCCCGCACAGGGACTTGCTACCTGGAGCCGCAAGTACCATTAGTGACGTCATTTTTCTCGTGCGACGCGTTTATTAGTGTAAACCAAAGTCACTCCTGTGAGAGAGCAGTTTAAGAGGGGTGGAGGCGTGAAGGAAATTATTCATTTTGGTGCGTAACCATAAATAGATACTACAAAGTTTGCGCCGGTCACTCCACATCTCCTCTGTTCGAACGTTATCCCGTTCACCTTTTACCTAACTGGGTTTGTAGGGAGTGACAAGTATTTCAGAGGATAATCTTACTGTGAGTCATTAATATATACCATACCACGGCAGTTTGGTTGCCTGTTTGAGTATGCAATCACTTCAGCCTGCGCGCAACTCCCTCATTACAGCATTGCTCCATTAGCGGCTGACGACGCAAAATACATTTACCTGCCCACTGAGAAGAACAAAACAGAAATCCGAAAAAATGGACATATTAATAACAACTTATTTCCAAGGGACTTTTCCCGTAAAAAATCACAACAGCCGTCAACGGGTCAATTAATTTTGAACATCATAGCTTTGAATCGCTGAAACTTGTACATTTTACGGATATTTTATGCTATGAAACGGCGAGCCACAAAGGGGGTTGTTGGAATGCAACGAAAACCATATGAGGATGGACTGAAAGACATAGGCCCATACTCCCTTAGCTACCGAAGGTTACGAGACGGCTTAATAATGGCTTACAAAATACTGAGCAACCCAAGTCACCTGAACAGAGGAATCCTACCAAGTGGCCACTACGGAGATCCTCGACGAAACCCCAAGAAAATAGCCCACCAAAGGTCAAAAACGCATGTGCGTTCGCAGTTCTTCTCCCTTCGAGTCTGCGGGTGCTGGAATGCACTACCAGCAGAGGTATTTCCCCCCCCCCCAATTGTCGAAAGCTTCAGGAAGAGGCTAGGCAGCCATGCAGAGCTCCATGGTCTACTTACATATATCTGGAACACGAAGTGTTGTCAAATCACCCTAACTAGTTTTCTTTCCACTGTGTCCATTTGGGCCCTTTTCACCCCTTCCACTTGCCATAGGTTGGCCTCACTAACCTAAGTTCTTCATACCTTTGTGCCACTACTCACCTTACTTGGGTGTTAGTAGATTGCTCCATTAGTTCACTTTTTTCTCCTCTTTTACTCACACTAACACTTTCTAGGTTTTCTCTTCACTATCCCAAACCCTCTCTAGAGACCAGTCCAAACAACTCTCTTGTGACTCGACATCTGAAGAAGCCAACTGCACCACAGTCCACGGCAAACGAACCAACACTTAACTTCCCGTTCTGTAAATCAGAGCTATAGCAGACGAGTGGCTGGATCTACTGCATCGGAATTTGCCAAAGATCTGGAACCGTTCTGCAAGACCAGGAAGCGAACAAGGAGAAATCAACTGGTTTACACAAGCTCGATAAAAGATATTGGATATTGGGATGCACAAGTCAACCGTTTTTGTATGGACAGCTGTTAGTTGCATTTTGATTTCTAAATTTTCTCCTGTTGTCACATTTAAGTCCCCAAATAAGCGATACATACAGTATTTCAACCAAACGAAATCAGATGATCTAGTGCGCAATCAGTTGATGATGGTTTTCACCCAGCCCACTTTGAGAAGACACGTACTTTTTGAAGCGTGCGCTTTCGAAAACGACCAAATATGCATTTCCACAGTCTGTGGACATCATCATTTTGCAGTCTACGTTGAACTTCAGTATTTATCAAGTTTGCTAGTAGCACTAAATTGTTAGTAATTACCATGATATGGTTGGTAGATGATAAGGCTAGGAGGCGCGGAGATTCGATTTTGTTTGCTTATAGCGAACGCAATGGTGTGATATTATTTTTCTAACGGGTAGTTTCTAGGATGATCCATCTTTGCAGATACATTTCAAGGGGCACAAGGAGGCTATTACATGTGTGGATTTCAACCCAAATGGAAAGCAACTTGGTAATGATGTCAAATCATAATTTGTTCCTTAGCTTCATCTTCTATGGACGCTTGTTTAATGGTTTGGAATATCAAGCCAAAAACACGAGCATATAAGTTTACGGGTCACAAGGATGCGATATTTTGCGTCCGGTTTTCCCCAAGGGGTGAGCTTATAGTCACTGCATCTAGAGACAAAACTGTAAAGTTGTGGGTTCCAAGCATGTAAAACAAAATTGGTTTGATACATATAAAGTTTAGAAAAGGAGAGTCTGTTACCTTTCGCGCACACACAGCAGCTGTCCGTTGGCTGGATATATCCTCTGATGACTTAAAAATATGCACTGCGTCTGCCGACAAGTCAGTGAAGGTAAGATTTTATTTTCTTCTTCATTATCTTCAGGTTTGGGATTTACACAGACACAGGTTCTTATTCTCTCTAACTAAACACGTTAATTGGGTGCGATGCTGTCGGTAAGTTGCAGTCGACCTTATACAATTAGATTCTCACCTGACTCACGCTTGATAATTTCCTCATCAGATGACAAGACTATTAAATTGTGGGATACTGAGACACAAAGCTGTGTGCATACGTTTCACGAAACTAATGGTTTCGCCTCGCATCTAGATTTTCATCCCAGTGGAAACTGTTTTGCTTCAGGAAGTACTAACTTCTCGGTTAAACTTTGGGATCTACGAATGAATAGGCTTGTTCAATATTATAATGGTAAGCAACCACTTTTTAGCTCAAATTTCCGCACCTCACATGATAATTTCAACCCTTTGAGTCACTGTAGTACTCTGATTCTTTATACTGACGGTTGTCAAGAAAGATCGGTGTTTTGAGAATCGGTAATAATAATAGTTATTTTAAACGAAAACTTGATAGGAAGCAAAGAATGGACTGCAGACGTATGGATATTTTTAGGCCAGGATCACGGTCTGTTTTTCTCTACATGTTTACCATGAGCTTTTGAGGTATTGGTTGCATTAATTATGTTCTTGATAAATAGGAAATTTTAGACTTGTTGTATGACATAACTAACACACTCGTTTGTGCACTATTAAGCTTTGATCTGTCTAAACATGCTATGTGAAGTGTATCAACTTGAATCTCCGTGCAGTGATGCCTAGTCTCTTACCAGCAATCTCCGTATGCCTTATAACTAAGAGTTGGTTGTTGTTTGTGCAGCTAGGTAGGTTATTTTACATTGCAGTTATATAGTAAGGTGACAACTCGTGTGAAGACTAATGTGTCAAAATAGGACGTGTTATTAATGTACAACAACTCAAATTGTCACCAGGATTCTTGGTTACTTGGTCACAAATATATTTATCTAGCACTCTTTTGTGTATTATCTTCATCCTAACCGTAACGTTTCATCATTCGATTCACCTCTCTTCTATGGCTTTCTACAACTCTAAATCAGGTTCCATCGGTTTCTGTTTTTTGTCTGATTTTATTGCATCCTGAATGCTAATGTAGGCTATGAAAAAATGAAACGTTTTTTATGTCAGACTTCATGTTAATAGTAACTAACTGCATTTTGTATTGTTTTGAAAACCACAGCCAACTTCTAATAACCGTTGCGCTTTTATGCGTTTATTTTGATGCAGCTCACAATGGACCTGTACATAAGGTCTCTTGTCATCCTAACGGTCGTTTTCTTCTGTCAGGATCAGAAGATTCAACACTAAAGGTATTTGACCTTCACGAGGGGCGTCCACTGTACACACTGCAGGGTCATATAGGACCTGTTACTGCTGCCGCGTTTTCCGCTTCTGGTGACAACTTTGCATCTGGTGGAAATGATGGGCAGGTAAATGCCTAATTGATAAAGTGTACTTTTTTTTTTTTTTTACCATACTTTCAACTACGTTGTATTTGATAACGACGTTAAAAGTAAATTGATTTTTGTCATTCCATATAAGAATTCCCAACTTCCTAACTCTGTAAAAAAATCAGATAGCAAGCATCGCTCGCCAGAACTCCGGGATCTTGAGCTGTGGACTTATGCTGTGCCTCTAGGACACGTATACAGGATGCGAGTGTGGTTATTAAATATTAACCTATTGAATTGACCGTAGTAGTGAATCCTCAAAATTCACTTTAAGAGACCCCAGATACGCAATGGCCAGCTCTCATAGACTCTGGAGCAGGAATAGCATCGAGTGGTAGAGCGAAATGTGCGCTCCTCGTCTGGATTCTAGAAAAAAGACGTCTAAAGGATGCTTGATCAAATGGGTCGATAATGATTGGTAAGGGTCCTGAAGCTAACCAATGTCTTTTCGCAGTCGTCGCCTACGCACCCACCGACTACAGTTCCGATGATGAGAAGGATGAATTCTATGAGAAGCTGTCAACTTTACTGCGGAGAACAAAACGTTCAGATGCCACAGTAAAAGGCGAATTTGACTCCAATATGCTATCTAATGCCGCCGTGAATCTACTCGATATCTTCCTACCTCCTCCGATGAAGCATTTTTGGCAGCAAACCGTCAGATCCTGCTGCTTTGCAACGCTTTGAGTTGGAAGCAGATTCTTAACTTCAAGGAGTGTTGGAAAGTCGATATTTGGATCCTATAATGAGAGGTTATCAAGGTCTCATCGTTTGCGGTTTAATTGACCATCGTCTTGTTCCTGCCAGTATCGTGAATAAGCCTAATATGCTGCCAGGTAGTACTTAGCGCTGTCTTCTCCATCTATCTCGTATTCGTCGTCCTCAACTGCTCACAGTCATTGCGACGACTCTTAGCCAATTTATGTTTCGGTTGCTTTCGCTCTTCATCGTGGTCAGAACCATCCGGAACCAGTCAGTTATGATGACGCTGCGGAAGCCCGATGACTTTTCCTAATCCTACGATGAACGTTAGTAATTGTCATTACCACTGTTTCTACAGCAGACTTAATATCGCGCCAGATTTCCCCAGGATGGGCGTTGCTGTCACTTTTAGACAAATGCTTAGCTAACTCTTCCCTAAATAGGTACTTGGAGTCCTTATCTTCCGATCGAACACTGACAAGAATAACTTTCACCTGTTTCCTGATACCAGCGAGGCACAGGCATACACGAGTCCGTATTATCGCATGATCGGAGTCCAAATGTGTACTGCAGAAAGAGCGGCAATCCCTCAGCAATCCACTCCGACGATCCCTTATGGCAATGTGGTGTATCTGTGTCCACTGTTGGTTTGATGCTGGTGGACAACATGTGAGACAGTATCTGTCTCTCCGGATACTCGAACTTAGCGTTGTGAGGGAACAAGTGATTGTGGCGGCAAAGTTGCAACAGACGATCCTCGTTGTTGGCTCGTTGGTATGGGATTCCATGAACGCCTCCAATATTCCTTTCCGATTGACTCAGCTTCCTTGGTAGCGTGTTAAAGTCACCGTCCACTACGGCATGTGAACGCTTTGCTTTCCGTGGCAAAGTCGACAGCTTCTCATGGAATTCATCCTTTTCATCTGAACTAGTCGGTGGGTACGTGGGTGGGGAATACGAATAGACAGATTTATTCAGTGGAACAGCAAAGTACTGCTGTCTTATAGTATGTAGTCGAGAAGTAGACTTTCTGCTCTACCAATCGATGCTTTGCTTACTATGTCAAGTCCACGAGACCTAGTCATTGGATCTATGGGGACTCTAAAAGTAAGTTTTGAAGATTCACTACTTTGACCAGGTTAGGTCGAGTTAATAATGGGTGTACGTGTATCGGAGGCAGCATGCGTCCATGACTCGAGATTCTAGAGTTCTGTTGCAGAAGACACATGCTGTCTAGTTTCTCAGAGAGTTAAAAGACCCAACATGAAATCGACAGTTGCGTTTTAGAAGACTAGAAATGATGTTCCGATGTCTTGAGTCGTGGGCAATGGCTGCAGGGTTAGGTTGGGGAAGTTGTTAGAAGTGCAGTATTGGTACTTGGAAGGAAGAGAAAGGAGAACGCAGTGGTTAGGAAGATAAGCTATGTTTGATTGGATTCTGTGATAGTTGCAAAAATTATTTACCACCTTTTTTCCTAAACCTTAAGATATCAATCATTTAAGTGTTTTGGTGAAGATTGATTCGAAGGTTTATAATTTTGTTCACCGATTCATTCACTTTTAAACAAATGTCTCATGGGAGTTTAAAAAAATAAATTCTCTATTCAGTCTGCTAATCATAAACCGCTACTTTTTTGTTCATGAGATATTTAATGATTTGTAATTCATCAAGTAACTTTTTCTTCTTTGAACTTTGGTTAATGTTGTTAGCTGTCACCTCTTTACACAACATATTTGAAATGAATTGGGAGCCTAAATAATTGTGATATAAACTGCGTTTACACCATATATATTGTAAATGCTAAACGATTTTCTGGGAACATTTTCTTCATCTACGGTTCCCTCTACTTTAACTAGAACTGAGGTTGTTGATATAGATTATGTAACTCCAAACTTGGCTTTACAAGATGGCTATACTGGTGAACCACTTTTGTTATAAATGTGATCAGTTTTATCTCGTAGGATAATGTGCTCTAACGGAAACATTTGTTCTCTTTTCGGAACCCTTCTTGGATAAAGTTCTTATAGGTATTCAATGTATGATAGCCAGAGATTTTGAAACTTATTGTCAAAGCATTTACTTTCTTTAAGGTGTTCATGTGGTGCACAAATTTCGATAAATCTGCAAATGAAGTAACTAAAACCTCAGATCAAAGCCCTGGTCGTATTCTTACAACTTCGAACCCTGAGGCCTCTACATCTCGAAGTAGATCTATCCAGATTAGTCGTCGGTTGTTATGTCCTCAGTCCCAAACAGTTGGCACTTCTCAAATGACATCAAACGGATCGCAAGAGAAAGATCAGCAGACTTCTGATGCATCTGGAGCAATTATCGACTATCGTGAATCTCCTAATGAGGAAACACGTGAACCACCCACTTCTGTGATGCGTCATTTCCCTCCTAGTGCCCGCATTCATTCCGGTATCAGTACACCAAGCACCTTACCACTAACATCAAATTGTAATGCTGTAAGTGATATACTCAGAGTTTTTTAATCAGTGGTTTTACCAATGATTCATTTTATCAGATATAGTTTGTATTTGTGTAAGTCACAGTGTGTTTAAAATAAAACAGTAACAACGTTTCGCACGGAAGTCTGGTCCGAGTTTCTTCCGGAGAAATAATCAAAATTAAAATGTGAAGGATATCCTTGATATGACTCAATGAATTTCAAACTACTGAATTCAGCTAAATATTGTGAGTTAGGCTCAGTTAGTTAAAACATTCGATATCTTGGTTTTTATCTAATGACATCATCCTGTATCAGTCTTAGCTGTGTATACCCTCACTCCCGCTTAGTTGCGTTACCTTTTGTTCATTTAGAATGTTTTCAGCTAACTGAGTTTCAACCTACTTAAGTAACCTAGTGTTAAGTCCCTCAATATTTTGACTACTATTCCACTCTTGTTATTTCATTCGAGAAACTTTCATTAGATTACTCATATAATATTGATTGTTTATTAACTCCCCTTGAGTTTGACCCCTACTCTATGACTATTTCTGTCCGTCTTAACCACTGACCGATGTTCTATTTTTTCAATGAATTAAAGCGCGGTAAATTTTCAGTAAAACTATATTTGATATTTTAGGGGGTTGTAAGCGGGTGATAAGGTACCACCGAAATAAAATGGATCCATTTTATCCTGCTCCCCTTGTTGTTCTTACTTTTATCAAACTCATAAAGGGGAATTCATGTTGGAAAAGTCAATCAACAGACAGGCGGATATAGGCCCAATCTACTTAAACAGAAAAATATCCATCCAGCAACGAAGTGCAAATAGACCCAACAAATTAATGATGAGGCACATTGTAACAGTAACAAATAACACAGTTCCACGCTAACAAATATTCTCTATTAGCGTGATCGAAGTAAATGTGTAGGGTCGAAGGGATAAGGGTGTGGTGATAGAAGTTTCTCTCACAACAACACCAAAGGTCAGGTAGAAAACTACGTTAACATTCATGCACCATTTGCGTATTCTTTATGAATTTATTGCTGAGGATGTCATCAGGTTTGGTGATGAAACATTTATGACGAAATATCAACGTTAAGAAAGTACTGAATCACCACATGCTTTTCAGAGTTTTAGATTTTTTCCCATCATTTCAATACAACGGACACCTCACTTCCATTCTGAAAAATACTTTGATCTGATACTCAAAAGTGGATTTGTATTTTGTAATCTTTGTAGCAGGGCATAACTGAGTTATTTTCTTTTCTTTGACTTTTGTTTTTTCAGAACTCTAAGGCAATTGCTGATTTATACAATGAACAACAAAATATTCCACCGGCAGTTTTCACTCTACTTGAACATGTGGTTTCCCAACTGGACATATTGACACATGTAGGTCTCGTTTTTATTCAGTTAACATTTTGCCTTTTGTGAACAATTTTTCAGTTCTCATGGAATAATATCATGTGACCCCATGAAAGTAGATATTTGAATCTTTGTCATTCGACTAAAGTTCGAACCTTATCTCATTCACCGATATCTGAACTAACAGTTGATAAAATATAGCTGTTACACTGAGAGTGTGAGTGGAGCTGTGACTCAGTGGCTTAGGGAGGTGGGTCACGGGTTCCATTCCCGCTCTACCTACGGAGGTTTTGGCAGCCAGATAGTATCATTAACCCTCACAATATGGGTATGGCTCTTTGCCTACTGCATGAATGTGCACAAGTTTGTTGAGTGGATTTCGTTTCGGTCCAGGTTGCTACACATATCAATACATCAATGCACCATAATGAAAAATTAAGAAATAAGAGGAAAGTAGTCAAAACCTGTAAAATATTGTCAGAAAGACCAAGGAAGAATGCGACAGTACTGATATAAGATATGGCGACTTGGGTAAAGATCAAGTGTGAGTGAATATATCCCCATGACTGAGGTCGATTCTGAGCCATATCACATACAGTCTCCAACCACCGGTCCCTGTTTTCAAATGGATGGCAGCGAGGAAGTCTACATTCCCTTACAGCATTCAGATCAACAATCAAAACTTCAGAGACTGGTGCCATGTTTTAGTCTGGTCACATTTAGCCTTTTTTGATTGGTTTCTGTCTTATTTCTCACTCTTTCATTATAATGCCTTCTAATTTGATATGCTGATATATGAAATGTAGTAACTTGGACCATAACACAATAATGTCTCTTCCTATTTTAACTTTGTCTTTCATTGTTGAAATTTTTCATACTAGAACAAAACAGTTGTTCAGCAGTGCTCTCAGGTTTTTAATGGTTCTCTGGCTAACATCGATCTGTGATGAGAACTGTTCAACTGGCAATAATCTGTTCGTATTCTTGGTTCTAAACTAAATAGTGAGAAATAAACCAGTCTTAGCATAGAGTGAATACAATTGGAGAAAGAAGACTAAATCATTTCCTAATGAATACCAGTGGTTCATCTAGAATGAAAAACAATATCAGGGAGCTGAGTATGAGTAATAGGTGCACGTTGAGGATCCATTGAGTGAATTAAGAAAAGAAAGAATCCAACTCAGCAGTCGTGATTACGTTCTTGTAGTGGACAACAAATCAAACCTATTACGTATGAGTCAGTGATAATACCGGGCTGTTCAGACTTCTATAGTTGGATTAGGGGTCGAACCCGCAGCCCCCCGCGTTGGTTGTAAGTTGAACACCTAGAGGAGTAAAGCATCAATACTGAGTAGGGGAAATGGTGGTAGTTTGGCATGGGATAGGAAAAGTAAACAGGTGCAGCATATTCAACGTGTACTGACGCTTTCTTGTGTGTTGAGTTGACTTGATCATCAGGTTGTACTAGTTATTTACTTTTGGGCACTACAGTGTTGAATAAATTCTTTTTTTGTGAGAAGTTTACACCAGTGTTTCCTATCTGTTGTACTGTCATCAGTTTCAGTTAAATTTTCGCTTTAGTAACTTATTAATTATGGGAATCGAAAACTACCCTACTGTCATAACCACACTTATTAGGCGTTTATTTATACCCAGTAGATTACTTAGTCAAATCAGGGATGTTACTTAAAACGGTTTTTTTACTACTTTTTTTGTCAGACCGTTTCAATATTAGATCAACGTTTAACTTTGATAGAAAATGAATCAAACGATGGTGTTTAACTTTGCTGACGTCTGCTATTCGTTAACTGAATTTAGCTAGTCCATCACGTTTTATGAATTCAATATTAATGTTATAATGAATGCTTAATGTGTTCAATGAAAGATACTGTTTGTTTGATCTTTGCGTTTCAAATAAATATGAACATTCCAGCATATTTTATTCACGATTTTGAATTGTACATTACCCTGTGAATCTCACTTATTTCAAGATACTTTGCATTTAAATTTTCTCCATTTTAATATATAATTAACATACTGCAGCATTGATTTGTTACTAATTATCAACTGATATCATAGCTAATCGCAAATGCTGATTGAACTCTGCGAGCATCGAATTAGCAGATTTTCAGTATTTTGCGTTGATTTTTCTGTATGCCTAGAGATTCACTATTATTGATGTACTTTGTATTGTTGAACTTCGACGTCCAACTAAAGAATTCAAAAGTCAACGAACACAGAAAAGTAGTATAGCACTTCATTAAATGAGAGTGAATATGAACAAGTCTAATAAATAACTCTTTATTCATCTCATTGACTTACCTAACCATCTGAACTCGGTATTCGCGAAGTGACTGAGTGAATTGCGAACGTAAGTAAATTGATTGACTGTACTGAATAACCGGAAATTCTCGAATTTTTATAGTAGCAAGTAACTGTTCCCTCAATATCATCAACTTCAATGAGACATGAAAATATCAGAAGGCGGAGACTGACCTGTGATTTCTAGATCGACATGTTTTGAGCGTACATATGCAAGCTATCTTCATCCAAATCTGAGTGAAGGTTTGAATCCGTAGCTATCATAAAATAAAAGTTTAGTGAATTGTGACTGTCACATCATCCGGTCTTGAAGTTTGCATTCTTCATGAGAAAGTTGAGTGTAGTGTTAGGTAGGCCAAATGATTGATTGTGTTGAGAACGATTAGAAGTTATTGGGATAATTCAATCACTGAAATAACGAATTAGTTACTTTCAAAATTACTTCTATTAGCATGAATGGCGTTTTTACTTGATTGCAACCGTTTGTTGTCTTTCTCACATATGAATTTCTTTGCTAAATATCTTCTGAATAAATTGAGCACTGTCCTCTAAGGCAATATTTAGGTAGAACAATATTTTAGACGAATAGTTCACGAATGCAAAAAAGTTAAGTGATGGGATTCAGCGTCACTGAGGGGACATCCATAATCTTAAATTCGCAGGTACGCCGTGCTGATGAGTACAAAGCAGGATGGAATTTATAGCCACGGCTTCCTGTCGACTGCCCACAAACTCTTCAGATTACTCAAAATCCATTCGGATGATTAGTCTCTTGACTTGATGAACATTTGAATCCCATCGTTACTGAGGTCTAGATGACATGAAATTGCTTACTCCTCAGTCACTCATTCATTGTGATGACTTTCAATGGTTAAACATGCCGACAAATAGTTCAGAAAAAGAATAAACGATGAAATTCACAACTTAACAATACGTAGACAATTCATCCAAGCTATTGTTAACCTGAAAAATGAAGTTATAAAGTCAATCAATGATCTCAGAGAAGAACAGTAAACAGAATACTTTACATGAAAATTCATGACAGGAATAATGATGACATAGTGGATTGAACGCAATATGAGGGTCTATTTAGTAACGAGGAACTAAATTTTCCAGTAGATCTGATCAGTAGGGATGAGTTTAAGAATGTGAATGACAAGACTAGTAATAACCGTATAATAATAAGTTCTAAATGGATGACCAAACTGACAAGATAATACATTAAGTAACCGTTCAACAGTGTTGGATGTCTATGAAAGATAATGATGCTTTATCCCATAATTCAGTATTGATGTTTTTATAGAGTTTAGTACTTTGTAAACTAAGAGAAGACAACGGATCAGTGGTTGCAGATGAAATCGGTCAGAATGGTGAAAGTTCATTGCACTAAGACAACTGACTATTCTTTATCTATTTGTTGATATACTTGTAATTTCAAGTTGTAATTCACCGTAGACTGACATCAATTCGAGGAACAAAGGAAACCTGGGAGCACTGGACAGCTGTTTCGTCCTAGTATGGGACTCCTCAGCAGTGCGCACCCACGACCCCACCAGGGATCGAAGCCGCGACAATTATTCAAACCTAATTGGGGAATGGATGAAAAGTTAGCTGTTAGTGTGACTACAGCGAGGAAGTTGAATACACAATTCATTCACAGAAGGGACAACTAGAAAGATGAACAGAAAATCCTGAACAGTCCAAGAGACCCTCAGAACTCCTCCGTTGCTTATCATCCAGTTACAGCCTATAGAGGACATTGAGACAGTGGACCCAACTGAAGGAAAAGTTTAGAATGCTATTAATGACCTGTAGCAAAGAAGAGTAGCAGGCTTTTATAAACTAGTATCAGAGATATGTGAGAACAGCTGCTTGTGTTTGTTGATTAGACTGAGTGTAGTGTCAGCTAGTGCCTTGTAATCACATGTGATCCCTACTGACTGGCCAGATTCGCTAATTATTCCTGTCCTCAAGAAAGAGGAGGGATTCTTTCTGATAACCATAGAGGGAATCAGCATGCAAAACAGTGTTTAATACTGTAGTTCCTTTAATCATCGAACCCCTAAATAAGGCCTGAGAACAGCGAACCCGAAGAAATCAAGCCGGGTTCAGATCCGACCGTAGGTGTACAGTCTAGACATTCTTCCACTTACTGACTAGACCTTGAAACACAATTACCAACTCTATCTGTATTTCTAAACCTGAAGGTGGCTTTTAGCTCTATCGACCGAATTTTCCTACATGAGTGTAATAAAATACATCTGACACAGTATGCCAACAAAATAACCCATATTCATATACCCAGGTATTTTCCAAACTGATACTTAACTGGACGCCTTTCAGGTGACAGCAGTTTCACTGGTCTTTTCATCTTATTATACGCAATCTTAGGTTTTTTGACAAATCCTATGTGGTTTCTGTCATTTACAATTGACTAGTTGCTAAAAATTATTACTGAATTCTCTTCAGAATGTTATTGCTGGTAACTTAGTAAACCTTTTCACTATTGAATAAACCAAAGAAGTTTAGAAAAATACAGTGATTTGCTATACAGTAATTGGATTTGGTTTTATAGCAGATGAAACATTCAGAGTTTCAGGTAATATATTTGAATACTGGTACTTTTAATTCACCGTTGTCATTTGAAGCTATGGTTCGAATCTCAGTTGGAACGGCATCACTTACTGGATTTATTTAGTTATAATTATTTCTTATCTGCTTGTGATTTACTGATTCAGAGAAAAAACGTTTCTTGGGAAAGCCCTCCAAAAATTCTATACTGAAATCTCATAGCCATTAAGAACCGGAAAATATCACACCATAAGTTCGATCGTGAAACTAAAAGATAAAACTTCGTAAAGCATCATTTATGATTCTACCTATACTGATACATGGGTTTTTCGAAGAAATGCAACGTAATACACTGACAGAATAGTAATAAGTTAGTGTGTATTCCTCATTTTCAAGGTGTAAAAGTGAGAACTATTCCCGGAAATCAAAAGAGCAAAGAACGAGTGGAATAGTTGTGAAAGCAAAAACCAAGTCTAAAAGGAAATTAGTTCTGAAGACAATAAAATATAATGATAAGTTGGATGAGGTAAAGAGTTGCCTATCATCCATGTTGGGATGTGTTATTCGGATGGCCAGAAGTTGGATTCGTTCAGATAAATTCTGATGGTTTCTGTTGTAAGTAGAAAAGAATTTATGAAGTACAAGTAAAATTAAAAGGAATATGATAAATAGTTTCAAAATGTATTTCTATATCAATATGATATCCATCATCAACAGGTTGTGAGAGTATGAAGATTCTTCTCAGTTTTTTCTACCCTTAGTTCAACTAGGAAATTTGACGGTAAACTTGTTTAAATGAATGGATATATGCGAGTTATATGATAAATACACATACAGTAGCTGAAATTCAGTTCATTTATCTTTGTTTCATGAACTCGAAATCAATCGAGTAAAGAATCAACAACATAAATTTTCTGCATTGAATATCCTTGTACAGCTTTACTGAGATGTTGTAACGTGATCTATCTCATAGGAGAACGTCAGAAGTGTAATCTCAAAAACTCTACTTTCTGTGACCATGTGAACACTTTGGTTTTCATGCTTGTTGGCGTCATGCTTGACTTTAGCGTTCTTATTTCAAAGGGGCTTACATCATAATTTGTCTGAAATACAGTACCGTATAATAAATAACAATAATGACTGGTAAATTGCAAATCTTGGGCCGTGAGGTCTCCGAAGGTTTGTCTTTGTTCAAAGCGTTTCACAAGAAGTACGTCAACTCTAAAACAGCAAAGCTGTTCCATTGTAAGCCATGTGAAGAAAAAGGCGCGGAATTACAGGTTGAGATGAAAGGAGTAAGATCAGCAACTGTTCAACGGAAGATAGTGCATGAAGAAGCAACTTAATGGAGCGAACTTTAATCATGATTGAAAAGTTAAAAACATCCTGGTATTTTAAATCGTGAACAAATGGCAAGTTTAACCTAACCGAACAATTAAAGACAACTGGGAAGTAACATTTTGAAGGAACGCGAGTTGTACTATTTATTTACAATAAGTAGTGTGGGGCTGCATACCCAAAAGCTTCACAGGGATGGCTTCACAAGAGTTAAAATGAATCAAGAAAAGAAATTAGTAGGATTTTATCCCGTATATTCAACCGACAGGCCAACCCTCGAGAACAGCAAAGAAATGAAATCACTTTCAACCCTGACTTTTATATTAAAGAAAACGTTTTTAGATTTTTTATTTTTATTTGTACCTTGGGTTCCTAGTAGAACAAGGGCTTCGGTTCCCCCATTTCACTCTGTTCTTCGCAGTTTTTTGAACCTGGCTACATGACTGCCCATAAGCTTTCATTTCTTTCTCGCACGATCTACATGTCATCCTCGGACACACGACCCATCGTTTCCCTCTTTGGATTCCACTCGAGGGCCTGGCGCGTGATGACCCCAAACGGTTGTCTCAGTGTATGGTCATTTCAGTGCAATCCATCTCCACTTTCTTCAGCATATTTGTTGAGTGATAGGTTATTGGTTGGTTCGTTTCCTGGCCAGAGTTCCTTGTTGCTTATTCTTATTATTCTGGCCTTCTGATCTTCACTATCGAGTGAGCGTAGACGGCAGCGTTAATGAATGTCTGTAGTTTGTTGGGAATGCTTTCTGTGACCCGCCAAGTTTCTGAACCATATAGAAGCACTGACTTGACTCCATTAGTGTTGAAGATTTGGATCTTGTTCACGCGTTGCTGAGTGCAGTGGAGTGGAGTGCAGTAGATCTCCACACTGATTTCAAGTTAATGAAGGCCTGTCTTTCCGATTCTGGCTTTGACGTCCTCATCTGTGCCGCCGCCTGTAGTTGAAACCATGCTGCCTAGGCAGGTTGGTGAAAAAGACTACTTCCTTCAGTTTTCTCCCGTTAATGGTGATTGGTGCTTATTGTTTTTGTTGTTGCTGTTGGTTGGGTACCTTCATCACCTCTGTCTTCTCTGCATTCACCTGAAGTCCCGTATTCTCTGCCTCGCCTTTTCTACCAACTTGTTAGTTTTTGTCTGAAGATCTTCGAGTTGTTCGACATTAGACATAATTCATCATCAGCGGTGAAATCCAAATCTTCTTCTGGGGTCTTCTCACCGGTCAACACAGCGTATGCCCCTCTTCTCGCTCGTCACAGTTTGTTGCATTATCCAGTCGGCCACAATCAGGAATATCATGGGTGATAGTAGACAGCCTTGTTTTACTCCTGTTTTCATTTCAAAGGCATCACTGAGCTTTCCATTGTGAATCACTTGGCTGGCATGTAGCATCATATGTAGCATATAGTTGCTCTAAATGAGGTTGATAAAGGTTTTTGTCAGTGAAACCGTAGAGTTGAAGCAGCTACTAAATTACTTCTCGGTCGAGCTGTCAAGGCCTTTTCAAAATCGATGAAGTTGAAGTAAAGAGTTGACAGCCATTCTATACTCTGTTCTATGATGTTGTGTAGTTTTTCAGATTTACTGAATGCGGAATGTGTGCAAAGTATTCTGTTGTGAGTCTCAGGCTTTTTTTATCCAACTAAAAATGATAACACTCATTTAAATACATAAGGTATAAGCATAATAATAAAAAATTGTCATCTCAGACAATGGTTAATACCGGGCTGATAAAATGTTGATAACACAACGTTTGACAAGCATAATAACGAAATAATATGGTACCACTGACATCTCTGTCCACTATCAATGATGAACCAATAAAAGAGTGACTCTAAAAGCCAACCTAACAACAGCTGAAATAACCGATTAGATTTCAAAACTAAGTGTAAATCTGCTTTTCTAGTCTAGATAAATGACCTAACTGGCTAAGACAACCAGCGCTAGAACTGTTTTTAAAGTCATTCGTATTAAGATACCAGTGACATTACCACTGGTCAAGGTCGTGGTCGTGGAAAACGGTGACCAACTATCTTTCTCTCTGTTCTAGCTCTAAGCTGTATGAGGATTTTCTCCCATCTCCGAAATAACCGTCACAACTCTTTTTGACTTAGTCATTACTCCGAAATCTCCAAAAAGATCCATCTCACTTCAGTTAACAACAATTTTTATCAGCTGGGATATCAATAAGTAATGGAGAATATTTGTAGCTCAGATGGATGATCTTGGTTGTGTTGTGTTCTTTGAGCTGGGTATATTAATCGTGGAGATTTCATTGTCTTTGTAGATGAAATCATCAGCACTAACTTCAATACGAAGTGAACTGTCAATATCTCTATGTGAGCGATTCAGTAGCTCGCCGTGACAAAGTGTATCTTTATATCCATTGGTGTACTATTTGTCCTATCACAACCTTTATGCTGATGAAAAATGAACATTGCACGATGTTGATTTTATTTTAAGGTGCTGTAGGTGTTTGTGTTTTCCAGGTGAAAAAGCAAAAACTCAGGAATCTAACGATATTCATCCAGCATAAAAAGGATATGCAATCTACGTCAATACTCATTGCAGCTGATCATTATTCGTGTACAAGAAGTAACTATGTTAAACATATGAGACGTGCTTTAAATTGTGTAATTATTTTCACAGTTATCAATTTTGGAAAGTAATCTGTTACTTAAAAGCAAATCAATGACTTCTGTGCATTGTAAAAGTCTCCGCTTTCATTTCTGTACTAACTGTATTGTATCGATGTAGTTTGCTCAATATCATTAAATTTTAGTGTTATTCCACTGCCAGCCACTGCTCATCATTACTATACATAATTAAATTTTCTTACAATTGTATAGTAAAAATGTTTTATTGGTAATAAACAAATTTATTTCTATCATTACAATTACAAATACCTTCAAAAATAACGAATCAACAAAACTTTCACCCTCACATCTTTTCAGTGTGAAAATCTTCACTGATAGTATCAAGCATGCTACTATGTAAGCTTTATGTGGCATAACTGACATAAGTAGTCACTGTTCTACTCAAATAGTGTGTAAAATGAGTAATTTTAATTCATCTCTTCATCCATTGTAATATTTTGAATATAAGTTTCACATTAAGCCTACATAACAACATACCGGATACTGGCAGCGAAAATCTTCCTTTTTAAATGTTTAAACTTCTCTCTTTTAAAAGTTTTGATTTGACGTTTAAATAATCGTTTCAAACAATTCAACAAATGAAACATTCAAATAACTATGCAAACATATTAATTTTTTTAATGTAATCAATCGGTTTTATAATCGTTTGGGATTTATCTATTGAACAATTTTACGTGGTTCTGCCAAGTCAATTTTGTGACATTTTAAATGAATAATTCATCACAAATTAGCATGTGGATCACGTGCTCTAACTTTAGATCCTTCCATTCTATTAGCTAAATTTTGGACTAATTCATCAATTTCTTTTCAAACATTCTAAACATTAATATTTCAATGGATGTAGTATCTGTTTTTAAATAAAACACTTTATTTGTACTTCTATCATTTAAAAATGCTTCATCTAGTATCTTTTTTGACATAATAAATCCAGGTTTACGAAAATTCTCTAATCCACGCTTTTTCAATTCAGTTTCAGCATTCATTTCTAAATCATTCAATCTTTCATTGATATATAATTCAAATTTACTTTGATGTGAATCATATTCAATTAAAAAAGCTTCAATTATAAAGGCTAATACAACATTTAAAACAAGTAATACACAAATCCAATGTATAATAATAAAAAATACTCGACACCATTTTGTTGTTATCAATGAAAAGCCATTAACAAATATATGCCAATTATTACCGACTACAATAATTAATAGTAATAGAAATGAATCTAAAGCATTATTGAAATTGAATGTACAATAATGCCATTGAACAAATTCACTATTCTTTAAATAAAGATTATTACACGTTGTATTCATTGTATAATTATAATTAATTGGTGGAATATACAATAAACCGAATAATTCCATAGCAATACATGAACAAATATAGAATAATATTAATAGAAGAGTTGTATAAGCGCCTAAAGATGGTAAGATAGTTAGAACACAATTAATAACAATACGAAATTGTGGTACAACACTAAAAACTTTAAGTAATCGAAATAATCGTAATAATAAAAAGATTTGTATAATACTATTTGGTAAATAAATACCAAATGAATAGAATATCACTTGAAATAATTGTCCAATTAATGCACCAAAAATAATAATACAGTCGAATAAATTCCAACCATCATCAAAAAATTTAACACCACCACAGCTAAATAATTGATAAATAATTCAAATGTAAATAATATTGTAAATATACCTTCAATAATCTCTTGAAATTTTGGATATGAACGAAAGAGAACAGCAGTTATAGCATTGGAAATAATTAAACAAGTGAAAAATAATTTTGTTATATTATGTTCAATATAATTGATCATTAATTGAAATCTAGATGATGTATATATATTGTAAAATTTTGAAATATATGTACTAAAATATGCACGACTTAATTCAATCTCTTCAAGTTTTGCTTGCATATATTCAGATAAACGTTCAAATTCTTTTTTACCTAAATAACCAGATTTATTTTTATCTAATACATGAAAAATAACTTTCATTGAATCTATACTACGTTGTGGTTTAACAATGCGCATTAAACGTAAAAATGTGCCTTGACTAACACCAAAACTACCATCTAATGTTATAGTTGATATTAAATTAAAAGCTTCATCCAATTTTTCTTTACGTTTCATAACTGTTTTTACAACAAATTCACCTAAATGTGATTTATATGAATTATAAACAGAAGCTGTTAATATACCCATAAATAGCCAATTACATATTGTACAAATAAATATATATATAAATATATAAAAGTTATTATATTCATAAGCTGGAATAATTATATCAGGTGAATTCGATGTTGTTGTTAAAACATAGAATTCCCATAGGATATCATAAAAATTATTGAAATAAACACTTCCATCAGTATGTATCAACTTTTTATCTCCTAATAAAGTTATCATAACAATTGAAATAAATACTAAACAAGCAATAAATAAACCAAATACTGGTAATACATCAATTAATGTACGTCGTAAATTATAAAATGCTGCACGTAATCTTCTATTCTCTGGAAATGTTAATAATAATACTGGTCTAAGTGCTCTTGACCATCGAATAGGACGACCAATATTCAATTCATTCAATAATATATAAATAATTGAATCAATTGTCATTAATATTAATATTGTAATTGTCATTAATGAAGAGATATTATATTTCAGTGTATTCTTCTCTGATATAGCATATATAATATACCATCGATAATAAAAATAACCTTCACATATAAAATTAATAATTAATGGTATATAATATGGTAATGGTTTATCATTTATCCATATATTCGGTGGATATTCAATGATAATTGTTAAGAGATTAAGTATAGTTAAAAAATAATACAATACAATACATGGTTTACTATAATATCTTTCATACATTTGTACAGATAGTAGATCTTGTTTAAATTTGATTTCTAGTCTTGATCCACATGCATCACGAATAAGTGTTGAACCTAAAACAAGTCGTCTTGCTCGACCACTATGAAATCCTTCATCTTCTCCCATTCTTCAATATAACTTCTTTCGACCGAATACTTTATTTTAACAGTCTATAAATCCAAACTGTAAGATGTGTTATATGTACAATATGTGTAATAAAGAGGAAGTTGATTCAAATTAAATATCGATCAATAAATGAAGCATATAGTATAACAGTATATATATATATATATATATATATATATATATATATATATATATATATATATATATATATTCTATCGATCGTCACACAACTGTAAATTTTAAGTTCAACATATTATTATTACTTAAAACTCTGTACCCATTTACTTAATGTTGAAATGATTTTGAAACATGAAGCTAGAAGAACATCATGATGGGCACTATTTCGGTTCTATGGTAAGCTGAACGGAACCTGTTGGATTTAAAAAGTAAAATAGCCTAATTATGTTAATCATTACTTATTATTTCTCTAAAAGTCAAAAAAATCATTTAATAGGTTACAAATGAAGATGATTACTGATCCAGTTGAAGAGTTGCATAACCTCTGACGCCTACTTTATAAGATCTCAAGTTCGTTCTATTTTGTACATAGATTTGAACTGTCTGACATTTTGTCTGCGACCAATAGGCTTAAAACAGTAAGTATTTATATACATAAGAAGGCTTCTGAGTTGACGTGTAAATATATTTACGCCACTCAAGTTTACATTGTAGAATAACAGCCTTCATTGATGAACAATAAAACATACTAAGTCTTGTTTGTAATGATGCCACCGAATGCCGAAAATTCTCTGGAAACAGTGTTCACTTGATATAGATTGTTCTTACCATCCACAAACTTAGTAAGTGAAATTCATTTGTGAGTAGCAAACTTCTTGTGGTAAAGATAAAAATCCCGACTTTAATATAAATGATATCTTCAAAATATCTTACGTACTTTAATCCAGCCCAAAGCCTAGGTCTTGATGGTGTTTCGAGTATTAAGTGTAGAAAATGTGAGGTTATTTTCTGTCATCCTCTTGCAGATATTTTAAATGTATCGTTTTCTAAAAATGCAATACCCGCTACTTGAAAGATGATCAAAGTTGTATCTGTGACTAAGTCGTCTTCTGGAATGGTTGTTAACTTTCGACTCATCACTATAACCTCCCTTTTTTCAAAGACGACGAAGAAAGTACATCTTGCGCTTGGGCCTGCATTGAAGGCTTTCAAAGATCCGAAACAATTCTGTTGCAAGCATAGGAGAAGTACTTCAGATGCTGTCTCTGCTTTCCATCATAACATTGTTTGTAGTCTGTATGAAGCTTATAAGCATGTTCTCTATGTCTTCATGGATTACACGTCAGCTTTTAACTCCGTTCCTAGACCACTGTTGGTAAATAGGCTGGCCATTGCTAATACTGAGCCATGCATGGGTTACAAAGTGGTTTTACTCTTATTTTTCTGAAAGGAAACAGTATATTTTTTATAAAGCAAGGCACTCCACCTTACCGCTTACTGAAACTGGTGTGCCTGTAATTGCGATACTTTCACCGTTTCTGTTTTATCTCTTTTGGCATAACTTACTTCATTCTGTTGAAACTAATTTTATGAAGAACGCTGATGATCAGATGGTTTCTGTGCCAGTTAACTCTCAATTAAACGGTTCTTGGCTGAAATTAAACAGTAGTCTTTCTGAAATGATCTTAAACCTTTCTAAATATCAGACTGTTAATTTTAGCTTCAGGCATAAAGAAGGCTTGCGTTAGCTGATTAAGTTCTATGGCTCCTGTGGAAAGTAAATTGAGTGTTAGCTTGTAGGATATATATCATATTCTGTTTGTTGATATATTTAACATCCACCTGATAATTTCACATTTATTTAATTGTGCTTATGTGGAACGAGATATCTACGGGGGACTTTAAAGGCCACCATAGCAACAGCTGAAATTACGAGAGACTTTAAAGGTCATCCTGGCAACTGCTGTAACAACCAATCAGTTATCGGTAGTTTTTCATAGAATTTAAAAGCCTTATTGTCTTTCTCAGCAGTTGCTAGGGTGGCCATTAAAGTTAGAGATTATAAAGAGACAACGGCAAGTCTCACTTCTCTTTTTAGTCATTCCTCTGCTTCTTAGTCGAACAGCACATAGGCAACTGTTGTCCTGGATCCAGTGTCTGATGCTGTACCTACACCTGCAAGATAACGAGAAATAGCCACCTAGTCTCCAGAGTCTCGAATTGTGAATTCCGCGGATTCAGCATATTGACAGAGGGAGGTTAGGTAAATAATTGCACTTGGGTCATGTACGTGTTTATAAACACGTCAGACATTTCGTTCTGATTCTGGGATGCGTGAGATGATGGAGTCAATACGGTTCATGGTGTAACGTTTGAAAGGTATGCCATTTCGATAAATATGATTTCTATGTAAAGCCTTCAGAAACCACTTCACATACTTATGGCTCTTTATGCAGTCGCTAAGAAAATTAATCTTCACATTAACTTCAGCAAGCTTGACAAAGTGCCGTAGGAACATACTGAGTTCCTTTGGTATCGTACAGTCCTGGTTGGATTTCAGTGTGTGAAATAAACTCATCAAGATATCAATACCTCAACACAAAATCAAAGAGCCACAGCTTCTTAACAAAAGAACACAGAGAACAACTGAAACAACTGATATATAAGAAAGGTTTGGTAATAGCACACCTGGATAAAAGTGCGGATGTGTTTATACTAAACAGAAGTGTCTATATTGACAAAATAGTGGCTGTACTGTCGGATGAAAATAAATTCTACGAACCTGCTGACGATAAAAATAAGACAAAATTGATTGGACAACAACTTACTGAAGTTTTGAAAAGGTTTTAAAATGATCAGCCAATAACCGATGATCCCTATGAACGCATCAAGCCAACAGGCTCCACAATTCCAAGACTTTACGCATTACCAAAAATTCACAAGGCCGGTCTACCCCTTCATCCGATTCTAGATATGTCTGAATCTCCTTACCATCCAATAGCGAAATGGCTAACTGAAATCCTAGAGCATGTAAGAAGACGAATCGCCATCCACTCTCTAAGTGATATTTTTGAGTTTGTTGATTGCATAAGAGACGAAGACGTGTCTAATCAATGCATGATGTCACTTGATGTCAAGCCATGTTTACCAATGTTTCACTTACCGAAACTATCTTATTCTTATGCAGAAACAGAGAAGATAACATAAATTTTGGGGTACCTACCCACACTTTAAGGACTTGTTACTTAGGTGCACATTCAACGTCCAGTTCACATTTTAAAGACGTGAATTATAAACAAGAAGATGGAATCGCATGTGATCCCCACCAGGTTTACACATAGCAGACTGCTTTATCGTCAGTTTGGAGAACGGCCCCTTGAAGTCAATGACTGAAGGTTTTAAACCGTACTAAAGGTACAAGGATGACACTTTTATCATCCGTGATTATTAATATGATTTGAATCATGTTCTACAAATATTCAATAACTGCTATTCAGCAATTAAATTCACCCTTGAGATCTTAAGTTGATCGAAAATTCATTTTCTTGATGTAGAGCTGACAAGAACAGCTGATGGAACTTTAAGTAGATCAATTCACAGAAAACCGTCGTGGAATGGTCAACTGACGAACTTTAATATCTGGGTCCCTATAAGTCGTAAACGAAACCTTTTCGTATATCTTGCCACTCGCATTAGACAAATCTGTAGCCTCATGTGTTAGAAGACGAAATTTCTATTCTAAAGAACATCCTGATTAAAAAAGGATTCCCACCACGCTTCATAGGCAAACACATCAAACCTAAGCCTCGCAAAGAGAACCTTACCACCGTACAAAAAAGACACTCTGTATGAATCTGAACTTTAAAGGTGATTCTGCCGCTGATGCTCTAAAAAGTAGGATATCAAACGCTCTAATAAAAACATTCTTTGCATCAACGCTGAGACTAGTATTCTCTTGTCGCCCAACGATTTCCAACAAGTCGATGGGAAATTCTCACATCTATGTGTATATATCAACTCACCTACTATTCTGGGGCCAGGTATATAGGTCATTCGATGCGACTGTTATCCAAAACGGTTCAAGAACACTATCCCGCGTGGTTACAAAGAGGTAACAATGGAGGCATAAGGAGTGCTATAATTGAACACATCGTGAACACAAATCACCCTATCTCAAGAGCCTCTTCGTTCAAAGCCATCTATAAAGTGAAAAGAAACCCCCCAATGGCTGAATGTCTTCGTATTCTCTGCATCACCGAAGCTCTTGCCATCCAAATGGAGAAGTCTAAACTGTTGTGTACGCAAAAGAAGATTGTTCAACCCATTCTCTTTTCATCGCCTTAGTTTTCAATCTCTTCTACCACTGTCCCCTTTTTTCTTTTCATTTTCTATTTTGACACTATTCACTACTTAAGTAATTTATTACTTATTCTTGTTGCTATGTTCTGCCTGATAACAATTCAGTTACCAACTATGTCATCATGTTACGAGACTCTCTGTCCAAACTTATTTTGATTAATATTCAACTCATCAATTTTTGGTTTTCTGATTCTAATGACAGCTCATTTATTGGCACTAATTGTGTTGCTATGCTTAGCAAACCGTTTTTAACTATCAAATCCTTAGACTAGAAAAGTGTATAAATTTGCGATTGTACAGCTTTGAAAATGAAATCGCTGAAAAGAAACTCCTCGCTAAAGTGTACTTGTTCTTTAATTAGAATTGTCTCCATAAGAGCTACTAATACACTTTTACTGAAAAAGGCCATCCTTCAAAATAATATTTCCCTCATTAATTTAGTAATGAGCTTCGAATGTTACAGTTCAAACATTCATTCTGCTGAAAACCACCATACCTACGGATATAATTTAAAGGTGATGTATCTCGCGAGATATTGATTCACAAACTATGCAAATCAATTCAGAGAACTTTAAATGTTGGTTGAATGCAAATCACATTCTCCACGTGCCTAGTGGTTACACTGAAACTGAGAGATGAATTGCCTGGACTGGCCACTTCCTGTTATGTTTTTCAGTTCGAATGTTCCTGTGGTCTAGAAATTCAAGTTTGCGGGCTCGCGAACTCCTCCACGCGTGGTTAAGTAAAGGTGCAGTAAAGACCATCACCAGCTCCGCATTAGCAAAATTCGTTCAAATGAGCTGTAAGTTGAATATGAATAAGTCATTTTCCATTTTAAACCGCGTGGTTCCCATCTACTTGCCAAAAGACACTCGGCTCCCAATCCTTCTGATTGAAGAAGCAGTAGCAATCAGGATCAAATAACTTGAGTTATGTATTCAAAAAGCAAGTTTCGCCACTGCAACTACCGCTGTTGACTTCGGGACGCACAAATTTCTTTGTATCCTGCCCCAGGCAGTCCAATTTCGAATTCTATATTGTAGATATCCCTTCATCCCAATGATCCAAAATAATTTTATCACATTCTTTTAAGCTATTTTGTTCCCCCAACATAGGTTACATTCAATCAAGCTAATATTCCTCAACTTATCTTCCTTTATCTAACTGTCATGTATACTCTTCTATTGTTTTATTATTCTATTACCTTATAGTCTTTAGATAACCATTTATTTTTCAGTGAATTCCAGTAACAATTGATTCCATCATTGACATGTATACAAGAATTTTCTGGATTGATTTCCTCAACTGTATAATATCATTAACAAACTGATAAGTAAAACTTCAATAGTGTTGATACATAATTCTTTAATATGTACATATAACTGTAGGATCTGAGGAAGAAGTTATCAAAAAGAGTATTCTTTGTTTACTCAAATAACTTTTGAATAATCAACAAGCTTAAACAGAAAAAAAATTTACATTGAATTAAAATTTTTACAAGTTCAAACTTTTGTCACCTTGTAAAATAATCATTTTTAGTAAGTAAATAAAAAGGAATCAGACAAAATAAATGAGAAAGTTATGAATGAATGACAGATAATGAAAAGCTAAGTTTATTTATACATAATAAAAAGAAAAAAAACAAATAGTAGTTTGTGGATCACAAGTGAAATAGAACAACTTCTGATTTGAAGTAAACAAGACTCTACCAAGGAAGTCATTAAAATGGGATTAGCATACAATCCCATTTAAAGCACAGGTTCTGTTTACATTAATAATATATACAAACAAAATAAAATCGAAAAATAATAGGGTTTTCACATTTAGATGACCAAAGAATTATTGAAAAGTGAATATATCATAATTTATAAATTATCGTTTTTCAATTTGTTTCCTTTTTCAAAATCAACATTTATAATTGAACATGAGAAATTGTGTGTGTAAATGATCAGTACAAATTTGTTTAAAACTATACTTATGTCATCGGCATACATTTTAATTGTGTACGATAAAGTTTTACAAGTTCTTGTTTAGTGATAAATGTATAACGAAGTGACTAAATTTAACACAATAAGGAGGAAAAAAAGCAATTTGAGCTCATTGACTGGTAAAAAAAAGTAATGACAAATGGTCAAGTACAAATTACACAATGACATTAAGTTACCATTATAGGGACCTTGAAAATAAATGATGATTATGAGTTTCCATGGACTTGGGTGATTTGAAGCTCTGTTGTTTTGGAAATGAATTATCAAATGATTATCGGCACTTAGTACTCATTAGAACTAGTAATTTAAAATGACAAAGAGTATCTCTAAAGGATAATCGCCCTAGCAATCAATCTTATAAACTATTTTTCAAGGTGATGTACAGAAACTCAACTGGTTGTCTTAGTTGTTGCTGAAGTTACCCCATGAAGTCACCCGAAACGAGGGCTATAACTGTAAAATGTCTATTTTTAGCAATCAAAAGATAACAATTCTGACTATCAGAGATAGCTGTGGTTTGGCAGACTTCTCTTGATACAGGGTGATGATCAGAGGTGAAATGAAAGTTTGGACTGCAGTCCAAACTGTGAGATAGCCAACTGGATTACAGTATCAGTCATTGTAGCACATAAAATCAATGAATAATGAGACTATCGTTAAATATGACTATCTAAACAGTTATAAATCACCACTTACATTCAAGTAAGATAATTTTGATTAATTAAATAAGATCTGAGTCACCATTCTTGACTCTATGGCATCATCTTAGATGTTTGGCTAAATGACAAAATCTTCACAGTCATCCTGGATAGAAAGGCGCAAAGGCATTTAAAATTTATTGTTGTAATCATATCAACTGTGTAACTGAGTTGTTTGATAAACTGAATGAAACTCATCCTAACATTAAATTTACGATGGAATATGAGTATGAAAATCAGCTCAGTTTTTTGGACCTCAATGTGATAAGAACTGATGGTAAAATTGAAAAGGTTATTCATAGAAAAGATATATGGACTGGAAAACATTTTCAGTATAACAGTTTGTGTACTGCTGGCTTAAGCGTGAGCCAGTCAAAACACTTTACAACAGAGCTAAAACAAGTTAGAGGGAAAACTAGGCTTTATTGGGAGATGTCTCAGAGAAAATAAATATCCTAAAAGATTTATTATGAAGTACGGAAAAAAACAGATCGAGAGAAATAAACACACAACTGCGAAAAAGGAGAAGGTTTTTATGCGCCTTATATTCTAGGGGAGATGCAGTGTCTGAGAGAATAAACACAAGAATCAAAGAAGTACCGAGAAGGAAATTTTCATAAAACTAAACTAGCATCAGTATACAGTACCACCTATTCGCTGAGCCAATCAAAATGGTCGTGGTCGCGTTAACTCCAACTGAATTTATGAATCCATATGGACTAGAAGTAGAAAGTACATTATAAGGACTGAGAGGAGGGCATCTATTCGGCTCGCTAAGCATACCTGAAAGCAGCTATGCTTGAAAAGAAGTAGAATTCTAACCAGTGCAACTACCAGACACCGCATAGACACAGAATGTCAGGTCAAAACCTAAAGTAATTCTAAAATAATAAAGGTACAGAAAATATCTGGGATACTTCGTTTCGCAGAAGCCATTGCAATAAAGCTCTTTCAACCTAATCTTTGCGTACAGAAAGAGAGTGTGGCTAATCTCTCTCTTTCTTGGTGACCATGACTTCCCCTTTTTCCATTCCCAGTTTCATTGTATAACTCTTTATTTATTTATTACTATTACTTGCCATCTCTTACACGTCTTGCTCCTCTATACAATTAATTCTCGTGCATGTCATATGGATTGTCAAAGATTTAGTTACACAACCTAAGATTATCGATTTCTTAATTTTGAAGATGAAGAGTATTCATGAAATAAAATATCATTTTATTCTACAAATCTTATCCTTCTTGCTTTGCTCATCTCTAACAAGAGATCTAAATGCTTGAAAATCATAGATGTGATTGGCAAAATATTCATCGAGAATGCAGGTCAGTGATAAAAATCCTACTGAGGAGAACTGACAGCACTCAACATCACTAGTAATACATTAGTTTTCCGTTTCTGTAAAATTTCGAAAAGTGAATCTTATTGTGCAACCGGTGGTGATTTTATAATATTTACGATGAAGATGAAAATTTTGTAGGTGTATTACTTGGGTCATGAGATGCGAAATCACTAAATCCCACATGTGCATGTACCGTTTTGTGGCAGTTAAATTTTTTCTATCAATAAAAGCATTTTTTCAACAAAAATGTCTCGGAACTTTGTGGTATATGTCGTTCATCCCAATATCTTTAGTGATTACTAAATAATCTTAACTGAAAACAATATATGCTGGTTGCTCATTTTGTCTTTTCCTATATTTTTCACTTGAGGTATTTACAGCAGTAAGTTGGCTTGCCCGAGGCATCATAACTCAGCCGCATCAATCCATACGTTCAAATAATCAATTATTATTGCTTTGTCTCGCACAATGATATCTCGAAACTATTGTTCAACTCATAAATTGATTGGTTTGTTGGAGAAACGCTTTCTTTGACAGATTATTAATATTGTTATCATTATTACTTGTCCCTCGGGTTCCTAACGGAACATAAGGCTTCAGCAGCACATCGCCATTTCACTGTGTTGTCTGCAGTTTTTTGAACTTGGCTCCATAACTCCCCACAAGCTTTCATTTTCTCCTCTTAAGATGTACTTTAAGTCACAGTCGGACACCCAACTCGTCGATTCCTCTTTGGGTTCCACTCAGGGGCCTAGCACGTGATGTCCACAAATGGTCTTCTATTCCTGTGTTTTCTGCTCCCACTTCGACATTCATGTCACGCATTAGAATTTTCATGTTGCCGTTACCATCTGGCGTCTTGTCCAGTAATGACTGCAACTGTCTGTAGAATTCCTCCTCCTTCTCTCCATCTGAATCGTTTGTAGGTTCATAGTGTAGCATTGTATGATTGCGACTTTACTTCCTCTTGAGTTGAATCTTGCTATCATGATCCTGCAGCAAGAGATTGGTTCCTACTGCATGAGAAACAGCCTTAGATACTCTTGTAAGGGGAACATCATGATAACCACTCGAGAACTCAGTGTGCTGGGCTCGTGTTTGTCGTCTGGGTGACAACATCTGAGTAGATTATTAACTCCTCTCCAGTTGACAGTTTCCAGAGTCCACTTCCATTCCATTCCATCTCCATTCGCAGATTCCCAGCCTGGCTCTTCTATGCCACACCTCCTCATCTCTTTTGCTATCTGTGCAGCCTTGCCAGCTATCTTCAAACATTGTTCGGATATTCCATGTCTCTATGCTTACTTTCGCTTTCATCGAGAGAAGAGAAGACACATTAGCCAATTGGCTTTCCTAAGGTTTTCACTAATCGGCGTCATTTCGTCTCCCCGATCCAGCGGTGAATAAGTTTATTTTTTATTTTTTATGTTTCCTTTGTGCTTTGAGGTTTCTTCAGCGATAGGATTTGTTTTACGAGGTATAGTTGTTAGTTGTGTGTGCAACGTTCCCATTTTATCTGGGCTTGCGACCGGCTAGTAAACTAGTGAACTGGTAAGCTAGGCAAGAGATAATGAAGAGTATTAGTAGGAGAAAGATCCAATACTATGCATCATCGTCATATATCAATTAATGTTAGACACCTAAACCGATGCACTATGAAATCTTTCTCTAACATAAGATATAGCATTATGTGGATTTGATCTTTGGTAGGAAGCATCATAAGTCTTACCTGCTCTTCCATTACTTAAGATAAGAAAGTGATTGCTTTAATTACGAAAGTTCTATAAAATTTAAATCTTTTCAATGACTTGCTACGATCTCACAGACTTCTCAAATCTTAAGTTGTTTAGAGTTCTGTATAATTAAGGTTTGGCGTAGCAATGTCATTTGAAATTCAAGTAGCTGGTGATTATTCTATACAACACAAACAACTAGATCCGTTCTTTTAGCTTCTCACTAAGTGGTGATTAATTTATTGTTTTAATCCTTCTGATCGCGTTTATTCCCAGTGGTACTGTTCGTCTCACTTTTTTCCCGTGTACTGTAAAGAGGCAGGACAGTCATAATGTTAGAAAAATGCTTTTGGGAGTGTACAGGATGTAGAACCAGTGTAACAATTTACGACTGAAATCCACTTTTTCAATGTTATGGCTTGTGCATCTCTGCTGTTGATTTGGCCGAATTGATAGGCCACTAGTGTCATATGGGATCCGGTGCGGAGGTCTCGATATTCCTAGTATTTTCGATTTTGATATTAATGGTGGATATTGACTAGCAGTGGAATACACAATGCACGTTTGTTTTATTTGGGACTTGTCGGTTGCGTGTACCTGACTTCTAGTGGGTGCTTATCGTGACTCAGTGGCTTAGTGGATAATACTTCGGCGTTTGAAGTGATTCATCCTAGGTTCACGTCTTAGTAGGAACAACTTCACCTACTAGGAGGCAGGCAGATCCAGTCCTGGATTCCACTGTTAGCCACTATCCACCAATAATATCAAGTTTGAAAAATACCGATAATACGCCATTTAATTCGGTCCAAACAATGACGGAGATTCACAAGTTATATCATCAAAGATGTCCAGCAATAAATAAAATACCATAAGCAAGTAGTACATAAATTTTGAATAAAAAGAGTCAACTTTTGTGGAACCATGATAAAAAAAACAGATCAAATGTAGTCAGTCAGTCAATCCAGAATAACCAACGTTTTGTTTAAATGAATATGAAAATGAGTCAACAACTTACACGGCTAATAAGTACATCTTCATTGACTATCGTTTTGGGAAGTTTACGTAATGATTCCATTAATTTATTCATTGAATTCAATTTATTTCTTGAAATCGAATCTCCCAGTAGAAGTTCAAAAATAGTAAGAGCTATACGAAACAGAACTTTAGCGCCTAAAATAATAATTTATATGTAAAGGTAGTTTAAATGAATTTTTCAGTCATGTAACGTAACAAGAAGTAACTTATTCTTAACGCTGAATTTCGAATTCAGTCAGCTTGCATTACAGATTAAAAAAAGTATGCAGTTCAGCGAAAAGAGTCCAAACATTCACCATCTTAATGTGAGTTTCCAATTGACCTTCAACATTGAAAATGTAACAAAAACGATTGACCTTGTAATATGGTATGGTATGTAGTTGACCTTTACTAACGGACATGTCTATGTGTCATATGGCTCAGATAGTAACAGTGGCAATTACTATTCATTGATATGTTCGAAAATGTTCTACTGGTGCCAGAAGTATACAAACACTGATAAGGTTTTTGAATTACTAAAGGAATACACACTGTTATGCTTTTACAAAAAGACATCAGGAAATTCAATTGAAGACAGTAAATTTTAAATATTTTGTGATGTAGCATATCTGATAGTAAGTTTTTTGGATACCTAAGGAAATCTATTGATGCTAATGAACTAAATACTTTTATATGTGGAGAAATGTGGACTACCTTCCCAAGGTACATTGGGCAAGTGAAATTGGTGGCTAGAGACTCTAGGTGATATGGCTAGGAATCAGTATCTAGAATGCAAATGCATTCAAATATTATCTTAACTGTCACATCAAATTCGACCGAAGTCAGAATTTCGAACCACTGGGCTACAACTCAGTGGCTGAAAGGCTAAAGTGTTTGTCTTCAAGATCAGAAGATCGTTAGTAGGATCTCTGGTTGAGTCGTAGATGCGTACCGCTCAGGAGTTCTATACTAGTACGAAACGGCTGTCCAGTGCCCCTGAGTTCTCCTTGGTTCTCCAAGTCATATCAATCCATGATGAATACTACGTTAAACGCCACGTTTTTTAATTGAGTAACCCTCTCTTCCTTTCTTCTTATGACTTTTTAACACTATTGGCTAGCTTCTTCCTCATTTTTTCATCTTCCATCTTGGTGTCTTCTACCTTGATTTCGTGATGTGAGGTGCCAGTAATGTGAAGCATAGTATTAAGTCTCTTTGTCTGCAGTAACATGCATACATTGTTATGGCTGAATTACTTCATAATGTTATTGGAAGTGTTTTTGTTGGATTTGTAACAGTTAATTAAAAGAGGTTGAGTAACAAAAGATACAACCATTCGTTTCTGAAGAGGTAAAAGATTAGAGTAAACACTCTTTTACATTCAATTACATATTTCTGTTCTACTAAAAGCGCAATCAATTCATGATATTAATATGCATTCAAAGGTTTACAATATTTCTCTCTTACCCAGAGGAAAATGCCTTAGCACTTTAAGAGATGGGTACGAGGTTCGAATCACATTGGGAACAATATCACTCACTGAGGTGCAGTCATATCCATCTGACGAGTCCTAAGTAGGATGAGACGCTCATCCTGGATTTCTTGCTAGATACAATCAAGTAAGATATTTCTCCCCGTTGATAACATAGTTGACAATGCATGATCCCTCAGATATTAACCTTTATTGTTGATGATTCGTAAAATTTACTTATTACAATATGAATTGTTTTTCTGTGTATTCTTTCCTCGTCGCTTAAGCGAGTGACTCTAAGCGTCACCCTGCCAGCTACTGAAATAGCCAGTTAAATTTCTCTATTTTATGGAAAAACTAACTTTCTGGACGAAATGGAGAAACTTAATTGGCTTACTTTCTGTTGTTAGGATGGCGTTTAGAGACTCTCCCAAAGACTGCTTGCCTTCTGCTGTTGTAGATTACGTTAGTTAGTTAACAAGTATAACCTACTCAATAATTTGAACTTCAAAGCAAAGCAAAGTGTGATGAAAGAAATTCTAGTATGTTAAATGCTGAATTAGCTCATCTACTTAAGAATATCAACGAAAGGCTCCTTGGTTATTCCCAGTGAGTTTTCGAATAACATCATGTTCCACACAATTTAGCTCAGAAACGTGATTATTCAGCATCATTTATGGAAATGACTCCTTCACTTGAAGCAAAGCTTTTGCCAAGAGGATTGAAGGACCTAGATTACCTAATGGTTAAATCTCTGGCTTCAACACTTAGTGAGGAAGGTTCAAACTACCTGGGGTAACACTAGTTTACCAATAGTTGTAGACATCTTGCGGTTCAGTGCCAACAAGCATGAAACATAAGTTTACGGTATCTTACCGAATAACTCCCTACATCTTCACTAAAATTGTATTACTATAAGAGACAAATACTCTCTGAATATATGCCAAAATACTTATAATCAGCACGCATAGTTTTGTTATAGTCTTGTTTGTGGTATGCGTTTTCTTGTTCATTGGATTAAAGATGTTATGTTAACCTTTTTACTGGGAATTAATTTTCAAACAAAATGTTTTCCATGAAATTTTGGGGGCTGAGACCCATTCTAGCTTTAATAAGTATGAAGTAGTTTGACTGGATTAAGCAAATATTTTTCAGCTGTGTGCAAGTATGGAGCTCTATACTGTTCTAATCTGCTCCTTATTCAACCATGATGAGTGATGCTCAGAAATTCGAAGATGAATCTGCCTCATTCTACGCCTAATGTAGCCATCTCCACAACAGGAGTTGAACTGATGAATGCACAGGGAAGTGAAAAAATGAGGCAGTCTGTTTTTATTTCTTGCACCTAGAATTTGCGGTTCTAGAAGATGGGATATAACTTAGCTGCTCGGAAAGCCTTTTGCAGGACTATTTTAAGCGCTATGTGACGACCTTGCTGAGAATGTTACGCTTGAATTTCACTTCCATGAGCCTTTATCAACTCAATTACCGCTGTGGAGATAGGAACACTGGAAGCAGAATGAGGTAAATCTATCGTCAAATTTCTGGCACCACCCATCGGAATTGAATTAGAACAGATTAGAACAATAAAGAGCTACATACGTGCACTCTTAATTGGCAATGAACATCAAGTGGATACTAGAAAAGCATTTAAAATATTTTCAATGAAAAAAAAATTGTAAAAATGTTCAGTAGTTAGTGATGACTAAAAACCTAAAACTAAAAAGACATAATGGATAGTAGCTATCAGTGGAATCCTCGACGCGAGTCTCATCCTATTTTGACAATTGTCCGCCGGATGTATCTGCCTCTAGGGGGTGATGTTGTTCCTACTAGAACTCGAGCTCAGGACCAGACCCCTCAAACTCCAGGGAGTTATCCAACAGACCATCGAGTCACGATATTGAATTCTTGTGCGACGGGTAAAGTTACAACATGAAAATGTACAGTTCTATTCTGAACCAAGCTACAAATCAACAGGATGCTTCGAAAACATCGACAACAACTACAAGTGAACATATAACATACCTTCAAAGAAAAACATATCCCATATACGAAGAACTGTAGACCATGGTAAATTACGCGTGTATAGGCACATGAACCAGTCGACAGCAAATAGTATTGGTTCTGTATTGCATTTCACCTATGTTTAAGAAAGTTTTCAAAAAAAAACACTTTCACAGAGTTTGCATTCTTATTTCTCAAAAAAAAGAATAAAGACTTCAGTGAACAAGCTTATTTTCCGCATTGTCATCCTCTGCAGCTACATTTAATTATAGTTAGTGTGCATATGTATGTCTATATTTGTTGGTAGATTGTCTAAAGTAATCGCCAGAACCTTCCGGTATGACTCAGATAACGTAAACGCATATCAGTTAACAGCTCTATTTTACAAAATTTGGTTGACAGCGGAAACACAGTTCCAAAAGATTCGTTTGCATTATTCTAAAAAGCGTAATTTTTTGAAAGATGAGAGAAAACGTTCACTTTACAGTGCCAAGGCTTTAAGTAATACAACAAAACGGGAATTGTGTATTCAGAAGTGATTTTTCCATTCCCTGTCCCTACTCATTTCCTAAACTTTTCAGCTCTTAAGCCTAATTAATCTTTTACTTTTTCTCTGTTGTTAGTTTGTGAACGATTTTTGTTTAGCTCAGTTACCTTACTGACAACTATTTACTCACTTTGTTATAAATTCTTTATTTCTTGGTTTCAACTGAAATTTTTCCTCACATTGTCAACTACTTTCATGTTTTTAAAAATGTAATTTACACCCGATAAACTACTTATAACTATTGATTAGTAAACACTGATATTTTATGCACACTGACTTTATTGAAATACGATTATATAGCTGCCAAGGGTACTATCGCCAAAAACTAATTTGTTCGCTGAAGTCTATATTCTTTCATTACTCAATGAGAATATTAAAATCTTGGAAAAAAAGGTAAACTTGGATATAATTTTCAACCTAAACTTATTTCAACAGACTATTTCAAACTGCTGCTTCCCAGTACTTTTATTTTCTAATACGTAAAGCGAATCAATTCTTAAACTTAGCAAGGAAACTAAAGTTGCCTAGACATGAAGTGGTCAGATGCCTTGTTTAAAACAAAATATATCTTAAGTATGTGAAGAACTATTTGTCTTTAAGAGTGAAAATGCTTCAGACAATCTAAGTATGCCTGGATACTCCAACGCACTGATAATAAACAGAATCCCATCAAGTGTTTGTAAAATACACAGTCTCAGTTAGGAAAGTGGAACTCAGTTTCTCTGAGCATTCTGTAGAAACCAACATTTACCCCGAAGTTCTAACTCACCAAAGGTAATGTATGATTGGTTGACAACACATTATTTATCTATGTCATCGTCGCGAATGCACATGAAATTCATCAAAAATCATCACATCGTAAAAGCATGGAGTAGGAGGTGGCAGGTAAAATGAACTTCGCTAGACACTGTTCATATGAAACGCAGCAATGGATCAACAAAATATCAATCTACTCAGAACCCATATGAAATGTAATGGATGATGACGTCTTTCTCTGACAAAACACGTCATGAGTGCATAGATCTTTGGCGCCTGTAATTGCAATACTGTCCATGAGGCGAAACTCGTGGTTGTCTGCATGAATGCTTTAGGCAGTAATAGGCTTCATGCTGGGAAGATTGTGTCAAGCAGAAAGCAAACAAGCTGTCGATAAAGTGAGTGCCAACAAGCACTAAGTTTAGATTTATAGTTTCCTGTAAACTGACTTACGGTATCTACCAGTAATTAATGATGTAAAGTGTGTAACCGTCAAAGCTGTATCACCAAATGTTGGATGAAAAGAAAAATTGTGATTTATGCGAACCACGGAGAAGATCCATAACTGGATCTCACTTCACGCTACAAATTTCTCGAGAATGCGATTCAACGGGTGTCATTTTCAACTGAATTACGATAATAAATTACTAAAGGTCAGAAAGCAGGCTAAAAATGTCTTAAGTTTACTGAAACTTATCTATTTGCAGTCGATTTTAATCCAAAAGAGATAGACACTTTACTGGTTGCTGGATAACTCTGTCACTGTTTAGACTTTTCAAAAAACATTCTCAAGTAATTATACCTGGCGGTTTCATGTCTTGGTCAGTTATACGAATAATTCTCTCCGTTAAAATTGTCTTCGAAAAATTATCTACTTTTACGTGGGAAACAGTCTTAAAACTTCTGAGTTGTGAGTATGAAATTACACTGCTAAATACAATATGCCTATGTTAGCATGATCGATTATTTTTTATTTCGACTAAACTTTGATTTTTCAACGATATTATTCTCTATCTAGTAATGCATAGAATTGGAATTCAGGATGTGAATTTTGCTCACGCTAGTTGGATTTATTTGCATTACGTAGAGTAAATATTTGCAATCATAGGCTTATCGTGCAGTTACAAATGCAAACACCTGCCATATTTCAGCTGATTCAGTAAATGTATCATACAGTGAAACAGCATCATTTACTGGATCATATTTCAGACACAATTTATTATACGTAAAACTGTTAAGTAATTGTGACTTTTCACACACCTAACTATCTGCATACTGCTACATTTGCCAACTTTACTATAATTATGAGTCCCCCACTGAAGTGAACATAAGACTGTCAGTCTTTCTCCCCTCCCACTGTACAACGAAATATAAGCGAAGTGACCGAGTGGAAGTGATTGACAGAAAAGTAAGAAATACGAGAACAGTACTAATACAATGAGACATTTCGACAGTATACGAATTACCGCTGTTCTCCCTCAGACCTGATGTTTCATTAAGCCACGAAAACCAGAAGACAAAGACTGGACTGTGAATGGAAAGAAGAGAGGTTTACTTGATAAAAGAGCATAATTTATACACAGCTTTCTCCAGAATATAAAGACTTAGGTCTCCCTTCTTTGGGAATTTGACAAAACAACTCTTCTTCCAATTAGAAAGTACCTTTCCTCTCTTCCTTACAAAACTTCTACAATAGTGGTGTGAGTGTGTCCACTGATAAATCTCCATCTCTTTTCAGTACTTCTAGCAGGATCCCATCTAGTCCTGATGCTTTCCTGTATTTCAGTAGTTTTTTATGGCATTCAGGACTTCACTGCTGCTTTCGTCGGATGTTTTTGTGATCACTAGTAGTTCTGTGGCTGGTCTGCTCGTGGTATTTGTGAACGAGTTACAGATGGTGGTGTTGGTGGTGGTCGATTCAAGAGCATTCTGAAGTGGTCAGCCCATCGATTCTTTTGTTCCTCCTCTTATTTGTCCAGTGTAGTGTTGTGTTCACTTCCTATTTTCGTTACTCATCCCTACACTGCATTGGTTTATCTTCTGCTTCACCATCTTCCCCCTCTTCTCTATCAGCTTCCATGTATCCATCGGGATACATTCCTTGTCTTACATATTCTTCATTCCTAGCACGGTTATGCAGGTTTCCTGCCACGTCTCTTTCAAAGAGCGTTCTTACAGTGTCCTTCCATGCAGATTTTTTCAGGGGTGTTGCTCAGTGTCTCCCATTTTTTCCTGATGACTGACGACGTGAATATGTCATTTGTAGTTTCGTTCTTCAGTTCAGTTTCTGTTCTGAGTGTTGAACTTGAACTGTGGTCGTCTATCACCAACTTCTTCGAAGACTTTCAACTTGTTTTGAAGGTAGGTTCCTTTCATTGGATAGTGAGTGGTGTGAACCCACATATGCTCCCCTTCTTGATCTTGTGTCAAGTAGGCTGCGTTTCCACTTTCTTCACATAGAGATGAAGTCGATATGGTTTTTAGTGTGCCATGGTGTCTGGCGAAATGGATATCGCTTTGTGAATATCCATGTGCTTGTACACACTGCCTCCAACCACCTAATCCTTGAATGCGCAGAAGTCTGCAAACAGGTCTCCATTCTCATTCATTTTAGCAAGTGCTTCTCGACCCCTTGTTAGTTCCCTTCCTGTGTTTTCTGCTCCCACTTCGACATTCATGTCACCCATTAGAATTTGGATGTCACCGTTACCATCTGGCGTCTTGTCCAGTACTGACTGCAACTGTCTGTAGAATTCCTCCTCCTTCTCTCCATCTGAATCGTTTGTAGGTTCATAGTGTAGCATTGTATGATTGCGACTTTACTTCCTCTTGAGTTGAATCTTGCTATCATGATCCTGCAGCAAGAGATTGGTTCCTACTGCATGAGAACAGCCTTAGATACTCTTGTAAGGGGAACATCATGATAACCACTCGAGAACTCAGTGTGCTGGGCTCGTGTTGTCGTCTGGGTGACAACATCTGAGTAGATTATTAACTCCTCTCCAGTTGACAGTTTCCAGAGTCCACTTCCATTCCATTCCATCTCCATTCGCAGATTCCCAGCCTGGCTCTTCTATGCCACACCTCCTCATCTCTTTTGCTATCTGTGCAACCTTGCCAGCTATCTTCAAACATTGTTCGGATATTCCATGTCTCTGTGCTTACTTTCGCTTTCATCGAGAGAAGAGAAGACACATTAGCCAATTGGCTTTCCTAAGGTTTTCACTAATCGGCGTCATTTCGTCTTCCCGATCCCAGTGGTGAATAAGTTTATTATTTATTTTTTTATGTTTCCTTTGTGCTTTGAGGTTTCTTCAGCGATAGGATTTGTTTTACGAGGTATAGTTGTTAGTTGTATGTGCAACGTTCCCATTTTATCTGGGCTTGCGACAGGCTAGTAAACTAGTGAACTAGTTAACTGGGCAAGGTTCTGCTTGAACCTTGGGCTATCAAAATTTTCCACCCAACAGATGCATCAAACTCTTCAATCTATTCGAATCGCGTAACTATGTCTTCTAAGCGTGCTTTATACTCTTGAACAGTTTTCATCTTGCCTTTTCTCTAGTAGATAACAAAATGAAGAAAATATGTCAAGTTCTGTGGAAATGGACTATTCCTTCGGAAAACATTCATCATATTTCCACTTCTCGGACGCTTAGCTCGAATACCAGATTCTTGTATTTGCCGAATGAACCATCACTGCCAAATTTATGTCCCATTTTTGTATATCTTCCCTTATAGGTCCGAAGCTAATTCAACACCAGACGATCGTTCAACATTATTGCATTCAATAGTACTATTATTGGTATCACTCGAATGTAGTAGTAATTTGGTTAGAATATATTATTCTGACAGTGAACTTGATGAGAATTCCATATTGCATTAAACATTTTCTTTGGAATTAAGCGATTATTATTATTATTATCGTTATTATTTGCAAAATGATGAGCATGATTGTTGAAAGCATCAGTTGATATGTTCAAGCATACTATATCTACTTTGATTAGTTAGGCTGACCAAGTGTTTCTACCAGTTTTTAATTAGGTGATAATCATAGTTTCACACTTGAAATTACTCTTTTTTTCCTTCACAATTTCCTATTTGGTTTGTTTACATAATTCTAGGTCTCTCAGAAATTCACACAATTGGTTTACTAGCTGAATTGATCAATGCAGGTAAATTCTTGAAATGGATAAAACCTGCTAACCGTTGTGCTTATTTTTCAGTGGAAGACTAATTACATTTAGATGTGATAGCCTTTTACAAATTGTTAACTTCCTTAGTTATTATGTGACTAGAAGAGTCGAATAATGCAAGACATCTTCATTAATTAACATAAACCTATCTACTTAAAGCATTTAAGAGTTCAGATTTGTCTCACCTTTTTATTTTTAACATAAAATCCATAGATCAACATTAGTTATACTAACTTCTCATATAGTTCAGCACTATATTAAACAAGAAATAGGAGAACAATGCTAAAAGTAGTGTATAAACTATAATTGTCATATGACTAATGTGTTACAGTTTAGAAGAAGATGGAATACATCTAGATATCTTTTTCTGTTTTGTGATACCTTCTAAGAAGCTAACATATTCAAATACAGTATTCTGCTTTACTGAATAAATAAGTAGATAAAGGTATCTTTTAGAAGCTTAAAAGTACTTTTAAAAATGAAAGTATTCATCTGTATATATAAGCATACCATATGTTTGTATATCTCTGGTTGATATTTCTTCACTAGAATAAACAGCATGTTCAGTTCAATTTTTACGCGTTCCTTCAATAAACGAAAAATAACGAGATTTAAAGTAATCATTACAATAAATACAGTCAGTAAAACTGGTATATTGTCAGTTCCTATATTAATTAAGAGAAATACTATCAAATAGTGTCGATATTACAGCTAGGAAATTTCCATCGTTGCTTGAACCAAACTGATCGGCCACTACTAGCATATGGGATCCTATGCGGACACCTCAATCTTGCCTGCTGTTTCAATTTTATACTAATGATGGATAGTGATTAACTGGGTAATCCAAGACCAATGTTTCGTCAGCTAGACTTACTTATCCCGTAGTGGTTATATTGTCCCAACTAAGACTCAGAGCCCATACCACTCTTTTCAAACCATAGGTTATCCACTACGATATTGATAAGTCCGAGTAGGAAGAAACGCACCTCCTAGATTCGACTGCTAGTCACTATCCATTCTTCGTTTTCGAAACCGATTTCGCTTCCAACACAGTTACAAAGAAATAACATAAAATTTCTAATATAAAGTTCTCACTATTTAGGTGCTATTTATTGTGAAATATAAAAGCACTATTCTTATGATAAAACTCACAGTGAGCATTTGACCCTGAGAAACATTATAGTCACAAAAAAGGCTAAAAAATGCTGAAAATAGAACTAACTACAGGAGTAAAAATAATGAAGACTGATGATGGATAGACGTTGGCAGTGGCAATCAGCAAGCACTTTTTGTTCCATTCGAGACTCGTTAGCTGGATGCACCTGCCTCTCAGCGGGTGATATTGCTCACACTAAGACTCAGAACCAATTTCTTTAGACCTTACCTAATGGATAACCTTTTTGCCATATGAAGCGATCGGTCCTGGGTTAGAGTCTTGGTGTGGAGAACATCATTCACCTGAAGAGTCCTAAATAGGGCGCAACGTGCGTTTTGGATGCCACTGGTAACCACTATTCACCGCTATTACCAAAATGAAGCTACAGGCAATGTACAGGCAGCTGCGCAGCAGCCCATATGTCAGTGACGACCAATCAATTCGGTCCAATCAATGACCAGAAACTATGAACAATGACATACTAATGAAGCCTCTTTGTGTAACCCTTGAGGAAACAATAAACTGTTTATTTTATGTCACATCTGTAATCTGCCTGTTCTTCAACCAGCATCAGTTTGTCAATATCTTCTTACTAACGAAGTCAAAAACACTAAGTGAGACCCAGCTAACTTTAACATTTACGAACATGAAGGTTCAGTAACCACGATTATGTCTAAGTAAGAGGTGACTTAGAACTCATCATTATTTTCGTACCGTTTAATTTCATCAACTTGAAGCCTTGATTTTTGGGAAACAGTGCTTTGATGCTCTCATAATATTTGCAGTATCCAACGCAAATAATCAGCTAACGTCCAAAAAAAGGTTAGTTACATTGCATATCAGTGTTATCTAATGATAATCGCAAGGTACGCTAATAAATCATTTTTGACAGAGTGGCTGGTAGATCTTCTCTGGGCTCAATATTCGCAGACATATTTCTGGCAAAACTGGAGATTAGTCCTTTGAAGGACTAAATTTCCAATGTGTAGTTGTAGTACTGTCAACATATGGACAATACTTTTTTAGTCTTCGGTTAATACCTATGGATTAATTCTATTCCAAACCACTTCAACAGCACTCATCCATCAGTTCATTTTACACATGAAAATGCAATCAGTGATTTAATACATTTTCTTAATGTGCTAATAACAACACAAAAAGGTGGCTTGATACCAAGAGGTATGTATAGAAAACGGACGTCTACGGAATAGTATACACCATTTCTTGGCTTCGTGCTGATGAAGTACAAACGTAATGTAATCAGGTGCCTGGTATTTAGGGTAAGATCGATTTGCTTCAAGGAGTGTATGGAAAAAGAAATACTGTATATTTATGATAGTCTAATTGAAAACAGGTATCTGGATAAATTCATCAAAGCTAACACCACTTACACTTGTCCTGAATGAGAATTGATGAAAGCGAAAATGTCCTTGTTTCTGCGATCACAATTCAAGGGAGACGTTGCGAATGACATCCTATCATAGAGTATAGCTAGAGCAGTCAATAGAATGCTTTACACTGATCGTCGTTGAATATTTTCCTACAGTTGACCAGTGCTCAATCCGAGGCTAAAGGATAGCCCATCTAATCTTAGTTATTTATCTTGTATATATCAATTTAACTGTTCCTGTGGAACAAGTTACATAGGATGAACGATTAGGCAGATAGGTCTCCGGATACGACAGCATTTACCAGCTTGGTTCAAAAAAAGCGAAGTGAAAGTGGTGAAAAGTTACATCTTGTCGACACTTAGTCAACACAGGGCACCATATGGCTTTCAATCTCAGATATGGTATTCTAAAAATAATACCGCGTGTAGCCACACTAACGCCTGCCCAAAATGGCTGAGGGTATAACAATAGCACCGATTAAACCTGGATTGTGCATTCAGGAAGATAATTTCCAAACGTTACTCCCCTCCTGATCGTCAGTAAAGTATAGCCCACTCCCGTTTTCTTTATTCGTTATTTTTTTGTTCACTATCGCAATATTCATCTTCATAAATGTCATCCTAATATTGATAAATTTACAGAAGAAGAATCGATTTCCTTACAGTCCTTTAATCTTGCTAAGTTTAAAAAATGTATTCACCTCTAACTTGGCTTGATTTTGCGCTGTAAAAATTCATCTTACTATTGCATAATCTGATGAGAATTGATTGAAAAGAATGTTCTTCATTCAGATTGTTGCTGTTGATTAATCATAAAGGGATTTTATCCAAAAACCATATAATGAAGAAAAGTGAAAAACAACTAGTACACTGAAGTCCAGATAATTTGTTCAACAGCACAATTTGTATCAATAAGACATTCCCCTAACTTTGGCTGACAATAATAACGGAAAAAAGCTGCAGGAACACTAACTTCATTATGAAGTATTCATCACATTGACTAACGTCGCCTGGTTAACTAATTCACTAGTTACTAGCCAGTCCTAAGACGGAGGTGATGAAGACAAACAACAAACAACAGCATGAACAACAAGCACCAATCACCATCAACAGAAGAAACCTAAAGGAAGTAGTCTCTTTCACCTACCTAGGCAGCATCTTTTCAACTACAGGCGGCACAGATGACAATGTCAAAACCAAGACCGGAAAAGAAAGACAGGTTTTCACGAATCTGGAATCAGTGTGGCGATCTACTGCACTCAGCACAAACAACAAGATCCGGATTTTCAACACCGATGTCAAGTCAGTGCTGCTATATGGTTCAGAAACTTGGCGTATCACGAAAAGCATTTCCAACAAACTACAGACATTCATCAACAGCTGCCTCCTACGCCCACTCGATACTGAAGGCCAGATGGATGGCCAGAAAGAATAAGAATGAGCAACAAGAAACTCACTGTGACTGGCAACGAACCAACCAAGAACCCGTCGCTCAACAAATATGCAGAAGAAAGTGGAGATGGATCGGGAATACACTGAGAAGACCATTTGGGGACGTCACGCACCAGGCCAGGCACTCGAGTGGAACCCAGATGGGAAGCGACGAGTTGGGTGTCCCAGCTGAGGGTGACATAGAGGAGTCGTGTGAGGAGGAAATGAGGGCTTGTGGGCTGTCGTGGAGCCAAGTCCAAAAGATTTCAGAGAAGAGAGTGGAATGGAGACGTGCTACTGAAGCCGTATGTTCCATTAGGAACCCAAAGGAAAAATAATAATCACATTGAATAACTGCTCTCAAAGAAAGGAATGTTTCAACCAAGAAATGAACAGTTTTCAGTGATATTTCATCTGGTTACTTCCAGTAACAGGATAATCTTTCTCCACTGTCTATAAAGTCAAACTAAATGGTTTGAAAAATGAGAAGGATTTTGAAATCTGTGGACTGTAGAGACATTGTCTACTCACTAATTCAAATCTGATATCTGTCAACAGCAGAAACGTGTACAGTCTCCAATTTCATTTTGATCTTTACCCTTTTCCACCTATATTGGCCATTTCACCATCGGTCATTATTCTACTGCCAGCCCTTTTATTGTGGTTTTTTGTTCCTTTCTTCCCATTCCTTTTCATCTGTCAACTAGACACTTTACTATCATGCTTGGCATACAGAAACAATTCAAAACTTGTTAAGTTCTGTGCTTTTCTTATTACTCTCGTCATCCTACAGATTATGATGTAACCGTTTCCACACATGTACTCATCTTTTCCTTCCACCCCCTACTACTATTTGACAAAGCGATAGGTTGTAATCTGTCTGATTCGTGTAATTTATTTACACAACACGTTTCCAATAAACTTATCACAGATATACCTGTCATGGGTATTTATAACGAAATGTTATGAAGAGATAAGAGGTGAGAATACGAAAAGAATTCAAATAGGAAAGCTAGAACTGGAAAGTATATTTGAACGCATAAAGGTAGCTTAGCATTCCTATAAGCTAAGCCATTGACAAATCTAAGCATCCGTCCCAAAAATGTTTTGTAAGTTGGTGTAAAAGAAGTAGCAACATCAATCCTGTGACCCTTCTCCACGATATGCTTGGTAATCGAAGGACTTGGACGTCTGCTACCAATGTTGACGAGTTCAGATGATTCAATTTGTTTCTGAAGCCAGTTTTTAAAAATCCTCTTCCCTTTGTCACGAAAAAATACGTCAGTGTTTCGTTCAAAAGTACAATCTTTATGCAGTGATTTAACGATGCTATTAGAAGGGCTTGCTAAGCATCTAGGAATCGACTACTATAAACCAATAAGCCTGAATACTCTCCCATACCCTAACAGTATGTGAACAATATCACATTCCATTATATCGACCAATTCAAATGTACGCTTGGTAGCACTTACGCTGAGAGGACTCATAGATTCATGGTAGTAAGCACCTCCAAGCATAGTCAAAAGTGGCTTCAGAAGCAAACTGAATCACCTGAACCCGTAAACGTTGGTAGAAGACGTCCAAGTCCTTCAAGAGCCAAAAATATGCTGCAGTTAGGTCACAGGATTGACGTTGCTACCTCCTTTACATCTGTTTAAAAAATATTTTTGGGATGGATCCTTACATTTACCGAGGGCTTAGCTTTCAGGAAGTTAAAACCAGCTTCACGTGTTCAAAAATAATTTGTTATCCCACTAAACCTACTTTGATGAATTCAACTCTAAAAGCAAGTTAGATGTACTGTTAGTTTTGCTTTATTTCTTTTCCTTATTTTGGCCTTTCCTTCTTGACCCCTTTCCATATTCTCACCCCTTTGCTCTTTATTACCTTTTAAATAAATTAGTATGACATGTAAGTGTATGATCAATCTGTTTGAAATGTTTTGAGTATACATATTAAACAATTCAGAGGAATTTTTGTTTTCTTATTGTTTTGTCAAAGTTCATAAGAGTTGACTGCCATTCTATGCTCTATGATAATGCATAGCGTAGCGTTGCAATTTGATCCGCACATAATTTGTTCTTCCTGAAGCCAGTCAGCCTGTTCCGGTCTTAATTTCGAATCTAAAGTGCCTTTCAGTCTCTCCAGGATGATACTTAATATATTGCTTGGGGTGGACAGCAACATGATTCCGCACCAGTTATTGTTCTTGCAAAGACTTAGGTCGTCCATCCTTCTTTGGGAGTTTGACAAGGTAACCCTTCTTCTGTTCAGCAGGTAACTCTCCTCCCTTCCTTACAAAACTTCTACAATAGTGGTGTGAGCGTGTCCACTGATAACTCTCCATCTCTTTTCAGTACTTCTAGTAGGATTCCATCTAGTCCTGATGCTTTCCTGTATTTCAGTAGTTGGTGGTGGTGGTCGATTCAAGAGCTTTCTGAAGTGGTCAGCCCATCGATTCCTTTGTTTCTCCTCTTTGCCGGTGACTAAGTTTCCTTCACTATCTTTTATTGCTTTTATCTATGTTGATCTCTTCCCTCCCGGATAGTAACCTGTTTATTTGATATAGTGTTATCAGGTCTCTTCTACCTACAACTGATCTACTTCAGTCGTAAGTGTGTCGTAAGGGGAACTAAATATTTTAAGCCTCTAGTATTACGGTATCAAGATGTTCTCCACCTATTATACAACTTCAAACTGCTTTTCGTCCCTTCTGATATAAATGTGACTGGCGATGTCACTAAATGAAAACGAAACTTTGGTTTTCTTTCTTTTAAGATGCAGCAATCAGTTTAAGCAATATCACCACTAAATTTGGAGACTCACGAAAGTGGTACACCTTATTTTCTACTGGATATTTAGAGAAACATAAATCAGGTCCAGTATATGATCTTTGAAATTTACTTTAGAGCTTTAAGTTCGAGAAGCAACTTAGTTAAAGAACACTGCCAGAGTTTTTCATGCTCAAAAGGAATAGACTAACTTACAAGACCTGTTTTGAAATAATCAACCATGTATCGATTGCACAAACAGACAAAAGTCCAAAATGCTTCTTCCTCTGTCATATGGATAAGTAGTGCTGCAGCAATCGGCGCTTGAGCCTGACAATAACCAATATCTGGATATAGTTGACAATACGCTTTAAGAACATTGAACAAAGATTCTTTTCTGACAAATTAATGACAAGAGAGTGTTCATTAGTAATTCTTTCGACACATCTAATCACTGTTAGTTACAAAAGACGATTGTGTATTAAATCCAATAAATATCAGTAGTGGATAATATGTCAGAGGTGTTTTTTTTATATTGAACAATTTATGAGAATATTACTTAGTATTTCAGAAAGAGAAAAACAACAATGAATCGATGTTAGAAAGAAGAACGTGGGTATGAAGGTATGTTAGAATAGTTTAGGAAACTTAAGTGTAGAAGTAAGATGGCGACAAACGAAAAGGAATGAAATTCTTAAGCTTTTAAAAAAGGTAAAGAGTCCAGTTGTGTCACTGGACTTCTCCAAAAATTGATTCTGACCCCATTAAGGTGGCCTACACTATCCTATACGACTGTGAACAAAAGTTGATGACTCTAAGGATTGCTGCTACATATCATTCTAGCCTCCATCACCTATCGATCATCTCAGTCTTGCTTCAGATATCATGATGCATTCGGATGGGCGGTGACTCAGTATGTGTAATATAAGCGTTAATCACTTCAGCTGAAATCCAAAACGTCGTTAGTCAATCCAATCTTTTGCTCAGAAGCCAAGCAAGTGACTTTAAAGGTCACCATAGAAACTGCCAAAATAGACTATCAGGTCTCGTTATTTCGGCTGGAAAGTTAGTTGTTAATAAAATAAAGTGCCTTAATTAACTATCTCAGCAGTTTTTAGGGTGGCCTTTGAATTATGCTGGAAGGCGAAGCAAGGAGCCTAAATTATCTGATGGAACTCGAATTTTATGCAACATTAGCTTAGTTTGCATCATTATCCAGTTTGTGTTATATACTTACTAAACAAAAGAAATTTGATTTACCATTACAAATAAATTAAGGCTGGGTTATAATAGAAGAATAGAGGAACTGAATAACTACTCAGATTTTGCACACTAATAACACTCCAGAGCTAAACGGTTAAAAATGTTATCCCTTCTACGATATTTGCAGGTTGATAAAATGATTCTACAGTGATTCATGACCTTTATTATTAAAGACTTCTCAGAGCTGTCTATTTGTCACATGACAAGGTAGTAGGAGATTTTTCAACTTCTCTAAGAGCTGGATGATGGCTAAGTGGAGTGTAGTTATAAGAAAAGTCAACATATCCAAAGAGTGTACCACGCAAGATATTCTACAAATACAACTAGTTTCAGTGGCACGGTTTTATTTATTTAGATAACTAAGAAAACGGAAATAGATAAAGTAAGAAATAGCTCAGTTGGTGGGGTGTCGGGCCGGAAACCCGGTGGTCGCTGGTTCAAATCCTGCCGTGCTTCAAATTTTCACTTCACCTTCAATCATCACCCAGTATCAATACTTAGTCTGCCAAACCATTACTATTCCAGACAGTCAAAATGATAATAGAAGCACGTTTAATATCCTACAAAATAATCTAATTTCTATTCTCAGTATTGTATGAATAACTACGGTGATTTAAACAGATATGTCGAAGCACCAAGTTTCGCGTAAATTTATTTATGACGTAGCCTATCAATTTGTCTCATAAAATTGTAAATCTCTTCGGAATGAAAACTGATAATCATCTCTGGGTTAAACACACAAATTCTGAAAATAAAAGTCAGCTTTTCTACTACGTTATTACTGTTAAGGTGTAGTGAACATGAAAACAGCTGAAACCATTGCCATACACCTTTACAAACAGAATTGGTGCATTTTTGCAATCTCTGTCATAACTTTAGGCATCAAGATAAATTAAAGTTTAGCTTGAATTTCCTCTAATTGACTATAATTTGTTAATAAGAGAGACTCTCCCCTCTTAAGCTCATATTATCTGTCACTTAATATTAAATAATTCTCTTAACATGTATCGAGTTGCCCCAAGTCCTTCAATATTTATGTTGAACTTTACCCCATCCATGCAATAACAACTTTTTTTACTCTGGTTTACATCTCTATCAATCCTATGTAGTTAGTGTATTCAACAACTATCTTCATTCTCTAGTTAATAACTTCTTCAGTAAGTGTAAATTTATGGTTATTTTAGTTTACTAACCTGACACCACTATTTATTTTATATTTATTTTTCTTTTGGGTTCCTAGTGGAACATAGGGCTTCAGTAGCATGTCTCCATTCCACTCTCTTCTCTGCAGTCTTTTCAACCTGGCTCCACGACTGCCCACAAGCTCTTATTTCTTCCTCACATAATCTCCTCCATGTCACCCTCAGCTGGGACACCCAACTCGTCGCTTCCCCTTTGAGTTTCACTCGAGTGCCTGGCCTGGTGCTTGACATCCCGAATGGTCTTCTCAGTGTATTCCCGATCCATCTCCACTTTCTTCTGCATATTTGTTGAGCGATGGGTTCTTGGTTGGTTCGTTGCCAGTCACAGTAAATTTCTTGTTGCTCATTCTTATTCTTTCTGGCCATCTGAGCTACAGTAACGAGCGTTAGCAGTTGTTAACACCAATAGATGATACTATACATTAGGTGTAAAATTTGGGCACTGTGGTAGAATTTAATTCCATATTATATTTGTTTATTTGATTTATAACACACAGTGATACAGTCTTATTTACTTGATGACGACGTTTCGAGTAAAAATCATCATTGCTCATAATCACATCAATGTAATCACACTACTTTCTATATCTGCTTTTCATAGTCATGTCACCGCATATTATTTGTTTTTATTGGTAGTAAAATATTCCATATCTCTAGCATGGGTGTTGCTTCATTTCTATTACATGTGTTGCGTGTTGATTCGCTGAACTAAGAGACAGTAATCAATCTCACTCTCTATCTAATTATATTAAACTTAAGTACAGTGGTTTGAATCGACCTTATTGTGTGGTTGTGTGTTAATGCTGACATTACAATAGCCGAATGTTTTTCTAGATTATTGATCTTATTCGGGTCTGTCATTCTATATTTAGCTAAATTTCTATATCGCGCTATTCTAACTGACTTCCACCGGCTAGTTTGACCTATGTACTTGACCGCTTAGTCATTACAAGGAATTTGATAGATTAGATTATTTTGCTTAATTGATTCTATCGGATCCTTAAGCCAGCCGACTGGCTTGTCTATGAGTCAGCTTGCAGGTTTAAATGCCACTCTAATTTCAGCTTTGTTGAGGATCCCACGTAAGGTTTCTGATGTTTCTTCTTATAGGGTAACACAAGATAGGCTGTAAACTCCTTTCTACTTGTATTGTCGTTATTATTCGTACTCGTGTTATAATTATTATTATATTATTAGTCCCTTGGGTTCCTAGTGGAACATAGGGCTTCAGTAGCACGTCTCCAGTGACCTCTGTTCTCTGAGATCTTTTGAACCTGGTTCCACGACAACCCAGAAGCTCTCATTTCCTCCTCACACGACCTCCTCCATGTCACCCTCAGCTGGGACGCCCAACTCGTCGCTTCCCCTGGGGATTCCACTCGAGCAACTGGCCTGACGCGTGATATCCCCAGTTGGCTTTCTCAGTGTATGCCCAATCCATCTCCACTTCCTCCTGCATATTTGTTGCGTGACAGGTTCTTGGTTGGTTCGTTACCAGAGCTCCTTGTTGCTTATTCTTTCTGGCCATCTCACCTTCAGTAGCGAGCGTAAGCAGCTGTTGATGAATGTCTGTAGTTTATTGGAAATCCCTTTCGTAATGCGCCAAGTCTCTGAAGCATACAGAAGCACTGACTTGACTGGGTTGGTGTTCAAAATCCGTATCTTGTTCCGCATGCTGAGTGCACTCGATCTCCACACTGGTTTCAGGTTAATGAAAGCCTGTCTTGCTTTTCCGATTCTGACTATGACATCCTCGTCTGTCCCGCCGCCTGTAGTTGAAACAATGCTGCCTAGATAGGTGAAGGAGGGTACTTCCTTCAAGCTTCTTCCGTTGATGGTGATTAGAGTTTGTTGTTGTTGTTGGAGTAGTTGGTGCGGTATCTTCATCACTTCTGTCTTCTCTATATTCACTTGAAGTCCCGTCTTCCTTCGCTGCCCTGCCTCTTCTGACAACTTGTTAGTTTTCGCCTGTAGATCTTCAAGTTTATGTGACATCAGGCACAAATCATCGGCGAAGTCGTACTCGTGTTACTGTTATCTTTTCGTTTCTTTTGTGTTCCTAAAAATTTCTTAATATACTGCAGAGGATAATCCTGAACTTTAAGTGCTTCTTTTACATGTTTTAATTCCTTGTTTAGGTCCTTATACTGACTAGTCAGTTTTCTAGCTCTATCACTTAGACATTTCACTAAACTTGCCTTAACTGACATTAGATAAGATGGCCTGAAGTCTAGATACCTGTTAGAATGTGTTGGTTTCTTGTAGACGGTAGTATCTAAACCACCGTCTGCTTGAAAGGTCATCAAGTAAATAAAACGGTATCACTGTGTATTATAAATCAAATAAATAAAAAAATCTAATATGGGATTAATGATAGTGGCTATCAGTGGGATCCAGGACGCGCGTTTCTTCCTATTTGGGACTCGGCAGTTGGGTGAACCTGCTATTTAATGGATGATTGTATCCCACTAATACTCGGACCCAGAACCAATTGCTTCGAACAGCTCAATGTCATCTAGTAGGTTACTGAATCACGGTAGCCACTCCTTGTGCGACGGGTATAGTATAGTAATATGTTAGTAAATGTAAAACTTATGCATTACGGTACAGCCAATGAAGGAGACCTAACTGGAAAGAAATATTTTCGCGCTCACTCCGTCATTTTTATAGATAATTCGTTGCATACTTTCACTAACATTATTTATCCTATATTCTGAATATTTTGAATGAATGTAGGACGTCACCAGAATGCAAAACAACATTTGTGCTTACCCTGTAGAGTTATTCGATCCAAATATTACATGATTAGGTAATTGTCTGTTAACATCTAACTTTATTTGTGAAATTGTTTTTGGATCATCTGACATTTTCAACAGTGTCTAAATCAGTAGTATAGAAGAAAAAATTGAAAAGTAATCGGTAAACAAAAGAAGAATTTGCTACCAATCGGATGCCAACTTATGTAGCACTCACATCATAGATATTCAGAGAAGTTCACCAATCAGTTAAAGTGATAACGGTTGGATAACCGTAAATGTTTAATACAGAGGCCTTTGATAATAGACAGCCTACCTACATCACTCAAAAAAGAGGATTGAGGGTGATCAGAATAAAGTGGAACAAGACATTTCTGCAGCACATGATTCCCAATCACTGTAAATTTTCAAGCTCTGACTGACAAATACCTGTTAGTATACCAGATGCTTTGACGAATGCTCTGATGGTATTTGATAGAAGGTAGTAGTGATACCTACAACGTTTATCTAATCCTATCAAAAAACTGGTTATCTGGTTGTATCTGCATTTCAGTGAGATTTGACCTTACCACCCATTTCTTGATTTCCACATAACTATACACTAGGTTACTCAGTTATGATGACGATATCTTGTTCGGTTGGTGTTATTTGATTTCACAGCTTAAAGTTCCATGACTTTAGCTAGAAAAGTACCAAAAGCTGAAACTGCCAGATAGACAGACAAACAAAAAATCTACGTAGAACCTCACACGGAAGTGCATCACTTCAAGCTGCCATATTTAACACTAGTATGGAAAACAAAAGTGGGTAGGGAAACAGTGATATTAAAGTAGACAAAGGTGAGTAGCAAGACAAACAGTTTGAAGATCAAGGTTAGTGAAAATGATGACGTTTCAGAAGACGTCAAAGAGTGAATAAATCAGCGCCGTTGTGACCGATTTTCAGTCATATCACTAATGGTCTGTAAGCACTGATTTGCATTATTTCGAGGACACTGGATAGCCAGTCTATACCTTCCTGCACGGATCAAAGTAAGAGAAAGAGACGTTGCAGACTCCCGCCACATCTTGATCTGACCACCCTGATCCTGCTTCCAACGAAATGCTACTTCGGTTAACACTACACGTGGAGGTAGGCAGTGACTCAGCATCGGCAACACACTTCCAAGTCACCTCAGTCCCTGTACGTTCACAACCTCATCGACTGACTTACCTTCGTTGCCCAGTACATTTGGTCTAACTTCGACATTGCTCACACTGTGGTTCCACTATTCGTGAGCGTTGCTGTGAAGTCTGTAGTTTCTTTATGTCTTCTACTTTTAATGGTCACGTCACACACATGAATGACAGGACTGAGCGAAAGACAGAACCAAATACTCATTCATTAATATGTTTTCGGATATTTCACTCGTACCAGAGTTTAGGCTAGTTGGAAAATGCTAAACGAGTCTTCTGTATTCGAGATGAGATTACGTCAGCGACCAGCTGTTAGAACGGGCAGAAAGGCGGTTGATTGGTCAATGTTTTTATCTGAAATGTGGACTAAGCATTCGTCGTTAACCTTGTTCATCGAAAGTGTCGCTAATATTTTATTGATCTGTTATGGGTAAGTGTCTTCAAAGACTATTTTTTAATATTAAACTTAGCAATTAGCCGTACTGTAAAATTCCAATGTAAACAGTTTTATTTCCCGTTAATTGGTGCCTTTTTCTAGAGCAATAAATTTTATCTTCTGTGTCTTTCAGTAGTCTAGGAACAGTGTTCTACCAATCAGAATCCATTGATATGTGTCGACTTATTATGGATGTGTATCCAGTCCTCTTTATTTGTAGTCTCAAACGAATTCTATGCCGTTCCTTTACTGTTCAGGAGAATACAGCCTCCCAAGTAAGTGGAGTGATCGACGTGTTCCATCACTTCGCTTCATATCCTTAAACTGGATGTAGTTACAGACCAGTTCTGAATCACCGATTCGCACTCGGCAGATGAGAAACCCAAGACTAAGCCTAAGATTTTTGTTCAAGTCACTCAGAAGACCCTTTGTTTTGTCGGCATCTTCATCTAACAGGAAAATGTCACGTTTCCTCCAAATTCACCATATGCCCTCTAGCGAGTAGGTCAATTCCTGTTAAGTTAGAGGTACCTAAATTTGTGTCCATTTATAAACTAAGAATAAAGTTAAGCAGTAAGGGTGACAGTGGGTACCCACAGTGGACACCAATGATTGTCGTCAATTCAGAAGGCGACTTTGTATAAGTTCAATACAGCTCATGAGTTGAAGTAAGGAAATTTGATTAGCGTTACGTGCTTGGTTGACACTTCCTTCACAGTCAGACATTGCTACAACAACTCACGGCCGAAACAGCTAAATGCCACCTTCGAACAACCAATAAGTGTACCTGTGCTCCATAACCTGACGAAGGATAAAGATGCGGTTGGTGTGCCACCGTCTATCTCTGAAATCCTCCTGGTTCAGTCGAGTTTGTTGTTCTTGAGCTCCAGTTACGCACTGGAAAACTACGGACCCATGGATCTGAGATACGATGCTAGTCAAACTGTCCCCTATGACTGCTGCCAGAAGACTTGTCCATTTTCTTACAAACTAGAGTGACCACTTATGTAGACAAGTGTGAAGGGACTACCTCTGATTTTCACATGGTACCTCTATGAAGATTAAACTGTATAAATTCAAAAGTGATCTAACACTACTTTTTCAACCGAGGATGCAACATGATATACACAACTAGCAAACAGATCCATATAGAAACAAAAACCCATCTAACGAGTTAAATAAAAAATGTGTAAAGCCGTCAGTTTATCCAGCCATAGTAGGATAATAAGTATTTGTCTAAAAAACTACTGAGATGAGTTACACATCCTATAGAAGTAAATACGACTTGAACTTGGCGATGTAAGTTAATCTTTCAGAGCGATAAACTTCTTGACTATCTTTTCTGCTGAAACACTGAAGAATTTAGAGTATTTAAAGCACAAAGTTTGCGCACTTTGATTAGTAGTATGATAGCTAGAAAAAGTCTCAAATCATAAATTCTGACGGATATCTATTGCTTAAATTTACATTATAGCCACCAACAGCAGTGAAATCACACTAGGATTCAGTCTGGTTGGTCTTAAACAGTATAGACCAAGCAGTAGAAGGCTAGAATTCCAAGTTTCGTATTTACTGGTACTCATTAGCAAACCGTTTATCCAATCTTAGATTAGATTGTGTAGGCTTTGTCAAAGTAATTTATATCACGTGAGGTCAGTATTTAACATTGACGCCAGAAGTCGGATTTATGTGGAAAAAAAGCTAGCAAATATGAAATATGTCCGTTACCTAGATGAAGAAACAGGTATGATTGGTTGGTATTCATCATGGACCGACATTAGTTGGAGGAATATTGGAAATCTGAGAGCATTCGACGACTAATTTACCCCAGTGTGTGACTCTCCAGCAGTGCACACCTATGACCCCACCAGGAATCGAATGCAGGACCTTTAGGGTAACTAGCTTTGAGAGGTGATTGCTGAAAGCGCAGTGCGAAGTCGCAACCGGTGGGGTCAACCAAGTTGAACATGAGGACAGTTACTAAGCACGTAAGAGTGAATTGTCCATTGACTGGGTCATCAAATTTAGACTAAAACTGAACAACAGAATTCGCAAAAGACAGTGAATTGTATTCCATTACACCCTCTTCAACTTCCCACAACCTGGTTGAGAAAAACTGTTAAGTTTTGAATAAGGTGACGTGGTAAGACTAACAACTGACCATTTTTCAATGCAAAGTAGTTTCCATTACTGCTGAACATCAATTGCACAGTCATTGAAAATTACAGAGGACTGACGAGCTGTTTTGTTTAAGTTCCAAAGTCTTCAGTAATAAGCACTTAGATACTTATGTGGGGAGACGAAAATCACGCTTTAATCTTTGATTCCTTATTTATAATTCAAATAGAAGTTATATTCGATGTTATCTTATAATAACTACTTTCAAGAAACTTGCATTGTTTGCACAGTGTCTTGGGTAGAACTATACTACTTAGGAGTTTTGTTTTTTGGATGAAAGCACGTTAATAGTTTATTCAGTTTAAACAATTAACATCTATTAACTTGAGTATAACAAAGTTGACTGACAAATATTGAATTTCGCGGGGAAATTTTTTGATGAAGTAGTTCAATGGTCAGATTGAAAGACTGAAGATCATATGGAAAGCTTTTTAATTTAAATATGCATTAGAAATACACAAAAATCCAACAATCAACTGCTTGATAAATGAAGTGATTTCATAACGTTGCAGCATCATGATATCAAAGAAAATACGTAATTAATTTTCACCGGAAAAGTTACTGCAGAAATGAATATTAAAAGAGGGATGATGACATCGCATTCAACTCCAATTATATCAATCATACTGGCCAGCTCGTCTTATCTGCCACACACGTAATGACAATAAAAACTCACTACTGAGACGAAAAATGATCCATTTAAGTTAAGTAAGAAGTTGATTAAAAGAGATTTGGTGGATATCCTTTAATTTGGAGGCTTGTAGGGGTTTATTTATTGATTTCACGTTGGCGTTCACCACGAGCTGACACCACTTGGAGGACCATTGTAAAACTGGGGGCACTGGACAGTTGTTTCACCCGAGCACGAGACTCCTCAGGGGTGGATACCCATGACCCTACCAGGAATCGGACTGAGAACTTTCAGGTTCCACCGCCACTGGGTTGAAATCCAATGGTCTATATTTCCTACTCCTGTAATTTTACGATATAGCGTGGCCTCCATCCAAGGCTATCGTTGAGTAACTGTCCTCACGCCCGAACTGGTTAACCCCACCAGTCACGATTCATTAAAACTTCGATAATCTCATCCCAAACCGTGTTGCAAATGAGCACCAGAGAGTAGTTAAATTTCGACGTTGGTGAGGATTTATTTATTGATTTTAGATGGGTGGTGTCCATCATGGACTGACATCAGTTGGATATCCTTTAAATAATAGCACTTGAAACGAGATACATTCTAATAAATGCAATACAAAATATATTTAAGAATGAGAGTAAAGGACAAATTGTTGTTTTCTTTTCCCTGACAGTCAATAGTAAAAGTTTCGCAACCCCCATATTTAGTAATTTTGAGCGGGAAAAACACTTCAGTTATCCAATCCTTTTTAAAGGTGAGATGGAAATGAAATTTATTCGGCGACAGATCAATCGAAATCCATGCTTACGAATTCTTACGAGCTACATTGCCTAGGCTAGAACCGTAAATATGTAGTCCATTGAAGTTCATTAGAACCATTTTTTAATGCGTAAATCGTGGTTCGTTACGCATAAGATATTTCATGAGTTTTGTATAGCGTCCTAAAAAAATAACGGCCTGCTTGAATATCCGGGCTGCTATATTTCCCATCTGTCATACTGCATCAAATTCTTCAACAGATTTTTTCGCTCTAATCATTCTATTATATCCTCTGATCGCATTATATATTCACGCACATTTTCAAAAAGCTTACGACCTTCTGCGATGCCAGTATCAAATAAGATGATGAAAAAGCATCACGGTGAATGGCAACGTGCTTTGAAGCGAATAACCTTATCTCAAATGACTCTGTTTGAAGTTATAAGCACGAACTGCAGATCACTGGAGGGAAAAGTAGATTACTTACAATCTCTTTTATCTTCCAATGTGTACGGTAATACTGAAGTAATTACACTGCAAGAAACTTGGTGACATGAACTTTATGGTGACATTTTGATTTCTCTGAATGATCTCAAAATTATCCGTCAAGATCGATGTAGCTCTACCAAGAAAAGTGGAGGTGGAGTAGCTACCTTCATCAATACCCATCGGTATATTTCGAGTTACATACGCTTCAAATTCTAAAATGACTATATAGGCTGCAGCACTGTAAAATGTCGCCCAAAACTTCTGAATAAATATCGCTTTATATAACAAATATTTATGTCACGTCTGGTTGCGGTTTCTCCAAACTATCCAATTTCTCTGATATATTCACGGAACTTGCAGCTCCTATACTCTGTGGTTCCCTGTCGATGTGGTGATTTCAATTCTTGTGACCAAAGCTTTCTCAAAACTCTTGTTCATCAAAATCTTGTTAACTTCACAACAGTATCCATACCTGTCTCCTCTTCAGCAGACCGTTCCCAATCGAATGGTTTCCTATCTGCTGTTAGACGATGATCTTCTGAAAGTGCTTAATTCTTCAAAACGTCAGATCATAAACTTTAGTTTTAGACATGAACGTAACTTATGTAAACTGCTTAGTTCTCATGGTTCCTGTTCTATTGATAGTTGCGTATTAGAGAGTGTTGCAAGTGTGATTTATCTCAGTGTATATTTTTTTCGGACCTTTCCTCGTCTTCTCATATCTCACTAATTTCCAGAAGAATTTTTCGCCTAACTTTCTACATGAGGAAGCTGAGAGTATCTGCTATTATTCAGCCTCTCCTCTTGTGTTTTATAAACTCTTGCGTCTTGCCTGTCCTGCTCTACTGCTCCCCTTTATTTTTTCCTGCGTTGCTTAAAAAAGACTATGCTATATTGCATAGACCTTTGAAGATTGTCAGCAGAACTAGTGGTGTATCCCTAAACCTTTTAGTTAAAACTGTTGTGGACAAATATATTAACTCATGTAAACATCTAGCAGGAGTTATTTTATCAGTTGATCAACATCCTCCTAACTCAAAGCTCTCTACGTGTCGTTCATCTGGAAAGACAAGGAGCAAGTACATAAGACTCTATGCACGTACTACAAAATGTAAAAACTCTACGATACCGTATTCAGGTTGTCTGTTGTGCGATGAAGAAAGTATTAAAATGAACTAACTAAGCAACTTCTGTTTTGAAAGTAAACTAACTGAAGATGACCGTGTTACTTTTTACATATTATGAATCTAATTCCCAATGTGATTGTATGCCTAAATTGACTGTCCATTTTGAAGAGAGTTGTGATAGAGCAAATATATTTTTATCTTTACGTAATTTCTACTTATTTCATTTTTGCTATGTATATATATACACTATCTCTGTCCAACTGATGTTATATGATGTGTTGAAAATCCGGCAGAGTATTCAAGAAATAACTTTCAGAATAAAGCTATTATTATTATTATTAACCATCTGATGGCTTTTGGTTTTGAAAGTTCTTTAAATGTAGCATTCTCTTCACGTTCACTCATCTATTTCTATCCGATTACTTGATGGCAACCAAAAGAAATTAATGAATCTGACGGTACACCCAAAATAATTTCCATCATATTTTCTTCAATAATGTGGAAGTTAATATTGTTCGGTGAATAATATGAATTTCTATAAATCCTTACCTGATATTTACCACATTCTTGGCGAATTAACACATAACTTCCGCATAGATATTGCCAAACTCTGGGACGTATAGCCGGCGGGATACCTTTTCTACAGCGATTTCTAACTCGATCTGTTTTGTATGACATCCATTTATCCCATTCTGTTAAGACATTTTGCCACTTTCTTTCTTTACGACGAATTTTCTCTAAAGATAAGGCAGAAAGCCTACTGCATACTCCAGTGTTACTATCAATTTCAACTTACTTGACATTTGGTTCACAGAACTGTTCACCTCCAAAAAATCCATAACGATCAACAGCTTCATTTTCTACTGAAATGCGAAATGATTCATCTACGTCTTCCTGATAATTTATCAATGGATTCAAGATAGTGTCATATACTCACCAAAGATGCTTTCATTCCACTAAAGCTGCTTCTAATTACCGTAACCGCTCATCATTTTATCAGGTTACATAATGATCCAGTTATCGAACTTTAAAAATCATTGGTTGTAACCTTGAGGAAGAAAAAAAGACGTAAATAAATGTATTTAGAGTTGCTTGTTACATACAATTTACAGATGCGCATGAGTAAACTCAAAAGAATTACAGCACACTACTCAAAATCAACTTCATCGACTCTGAGAAGCCATTCAACAGAGTCGACCGAGAGGTAATTTGGAAACTGCTTCAATACTACGGAATACCGCAAACCTTTATCAGCCTCATTCAACAACTATGTGAAGATGCCACATGCCAGCCAATTGATTCACAATGGGAAGCTCAGTGATGCTTTTGAAGCGAAAGTGAAGACAGGAGTGAAACAAGGTTGTCTATTATCACCCATGATATTCTTGATTGTAGTGAACTGGATCATGCAGCAGACAACTGTGGGGAGCTGTGAGAAGAGGGGGATACGCTGGCTGGACTGCGGAAAAGAACCTAGAAGATCTGGATTTCACCAGTGATGACTTGTGTCTGATGTCTTGTCACACAAACTTGATAATCTACAGGCGAAAACTAACAAGTTGACAGAAGAGGCAGGGCAGCGAAGGAAGACGGGACTTCAAGTGAATATAGAGAAGACAGAAGTGATGAAGATGCCCAACCAACAACTCCAACAACAACAACAAACTCTAATCACCATTAACGGAAGAAACTTAGAGGAAGTACCCTCCTTCACCTATCTAGGCAGCATTGTTTCAACTACAGGCGGCGGTGGCATAGACGAGAACATCAAAGTCAGGATCGGAAAAGCAAGACAGGCGTTCATTAACCTGAAACCAGTGTGGAGATCGAGTGCACTCAGAGTAAAGCGTGGACAACATCCGGATTTTGAACACCAACCCAGTCAAGTCAGTGCTTCTGTGTGGTGGATAAGAGACTTGGCGCTTCACGAAAGGGATTTCCAATAAACTACAGACATTCAGCAACAACTGCCACCTACGCTGGCTCGTTAATCAAGCTCAGATGGCCAGAATGATAAGAATAAGCAACAAGGAGCTCTGGGAACGAACCAATCAAGAACCTACCACTCAACAAATATGCAGGAGGAAGTGGAGATGGATTGAATTGAGCATACACTGAGAAGGCCAACTGGGGATATCACGCGTCAGGTCAGGCACTCGAGTGGAACCCACATGGGAAGCGACGAGTTGGGCGTCCCAGCTGAGGGTGACATGGAGGAGATGGTGTGAGGAGGAAATGAGGGCTTGTGGGCTGTCGTGGAGCCAAGTACCAAAGATTTCAGAGAAGAGAGTGGAATGGAGACGTGCTACTGAAGCCCTATGTTCCATTAGGAACCCAAAGGACATATAATAATAATAATACTCAAAATCAATAGATTCAAGATAGGATGCTTTTAAACTGATCACATGGAATGCCAGTTATTCGCAGCAGCTACCAATAGCTAGTGGAAGCAAAGCGTTTTAGGTACACGGCTTCTTGCCGTTAGGTTCCATCGAACGAACACTTCTCATGGTGAATTTAGATAGTAAATTTCTTTATATGGTGATCGACAGAATCCAGTCAGCACTTAGGACTAGATACAGTGAAGTTGGTTACCCTCTAGTAATTATTCAATGTCAATAAAGAGTTTTTTGTGACCACAAAAAGCTTGATATTCCCATGGCCATCTCATTGTTCTCTGTAGATATAAAATGTTTGCTATATCTAATTAGTTCAATAATTAGAACTGCTGGAAATGCTACTTCCTTTGAATTCGAGAGGCATTCATCATCAAACTGTGAAAACTAAAGTGAATCGTTAAACTGTCCAATATATCAATGCCTACGACTAACAGTAACTATGAATTATACAGCAAAATGTAGCAGGTTTTATATAAGGTTTGCTACAGACAGCCTTAAAATTATCTAGATAACGAACAATATTATGATCATAAAAACCTCAGGTGTTGTTACATTGAGTAGGAATGATTGAATCATCAATATGAGGTCAATTTTTATAGTTGAATAGAATTCTTTTTTGACAATTGAAATAAACAAAGTGCATCACAGAGACGCATAGACAACTGTTGACAAGTAATTCATCTCACCCGATAATAACTGAAGCCCTGAAACGTGTTTGATGATGATTTACCCTTTACGCGTCGAAAAGTTTTTTTCCAATTCCTCTAAAATTTAGATGACTTTAGAATCCGTAAATAGATTGTTTCATCACTGTTAGGGATGCCTATATCCCTTATATTCCATACTCACAGTCTGGATATATTTGAACTGGTTTATTTCGCGCTCTTTTCCCGCGCATAGGTCATATTTCGCATGACCCGTCCACGTTTTGACCGACCCTTGCCTCTTTAAGTTTACTAATTATTCCTTGTCTTTTAAGGTTACTGTAAATTCTACAAATAGGGTCCGTTCTTGTTCATAAACACTTTTAGTCAAAGATACTTTAAACTCATCTGATTTCCAGTCTTTTGATTTCTCTTTGCAAATCACTTGGGTTGAATAGTCTCCACCCTCGACTATCAATCGTTAAGTATTTTCTTAAATTTTGAGGGAGTTGTGGAGATTTGGAAATATTTCAAGTTGTTATTCATCGAAGACTGACATCAGTTGGAGGAACACAGGAAACCTGGGAGCACTGGACAGCTGTTTTGCCCTAGTATGGGACTCCTCAGTAGTGCGCACCCACGACCCCACACCAGCAGGGATAGAACCCGCGACCTTCAGGTTCTGCGGCCAGCGCATTACCATTGAGCCACTGGGTCAGAATCCAATGCTCCATATTTCCAACTTCTGTTAGCTCACGATATAGCGCAAACCGCCACCCAATGTCATCGTTGAGTATCTGTCCTCACGGCCATCAGGCTTTGACTCCACCGGTCACGACTCCTCATTGGAACTTTGGGAATACAAATATCATGTGTTCAGTTTGTTATGAAATTTTTAACAATGCTCATATAAACATTAAGTTGTCTTAGAATAATGACGTGGTGGTTATTTCGAGTTACTGAACATCATTGCATAAAGCAGAACGGATGGTACATTTGACAGCTTCACCCATTGAAGCGCATGTAACTAACTGTACTCTTATTTTCAAAGTTTCTATCCCACCTACAACAAAATGGATGAAAATTCTGTTTTCTAGAATTTAATAAATATTCTCAAGCAATGGTTGAGAGAGGAGTAACTAAACAAAGAGCAGTTCTTGTAAAACTAAACGTAAAGGTTTGTAAACAGATAAGAAAGAACTAAAAACAAGTCCGAGAAGAAAATACATCAAGCTGGTAGTCTTCATTCATTTCAGGGTAGCCTTAGTCCACACAAAATAAACAGAAGACAGAAAGCAGGTCTAGTTACAACTCTCCCTGGACTCATTTTAACACCCTCTACTGATGGATTCACTTTTACAATAAAAATTCCACACGTACCTTTCTCCTTTTAACCTGAACTGTTTGTACCAGGAGTCCAAAGCGCATGCAAACGAACATTTTAGTAGTTCAATTATTCAACATTTCATCGATACAAGATTTTAGATAGACATCTTCAAATATTCCAGAACAGTTAACTAACAACGTTATGTCTTCTTGGGCTCATTGTGGTTACTGTTATATCGAGTAAACTTATTCATTGTGGAATAGTACTCTACCACAGTATCCAAATTCTACTCTTATTTTTACTTCCATAATTCTCTGACCATTATTTAGAATTCACAGACTGAGACTCTAACGAATTCCAACGTAGGTTTTTACCACCCTCTTTCTAGAGAAAACGGCAGATAAACAGGTCATCCCGATGAAATCGTACATCAAGACTACTGGTTTAACTTTCTATCTATATGCCTATCACAGAAAGTGAGAAATTCTAATCCACCATCCTCATGAACATTATCTTGTGTACGTATTTTGTTCGTTTGTGTACTAGCATTTATCAATGCAACTTTTCATCTGAGAGATGACTTTTTAACCATCTCTGATGTCGATTAGTAACGTCTATTGATTGTAATCAGTTCATAGTGCTCGATGAAGAAACTGACTAATGAAATATAAAACACAGTACTTATGAAATCTACTAAGAATTATATCATTAAAAACCCAACTGTTAGTAGGATCACGGACAGTGATTCTACTTGAAATATTCACTAAAACTTAAGAACCAGTTTATAATATGTAAATATTCATTTTAAATTTATTTATCACAAATTGATCCATTCCAAAATGCGGAAACCTCTTCATGAATTTAACTAGTCATTTGAGGTTATTATTCTTCGTCTTTGTTGTGAAGTTGTACTTGTTCACTTCGTAAACTTCACTATTAGTGACTGTATTACAGTAGTGGCAAGATATTCATTTTTATAATACACATTAGGCCTTGTGAATAAACTTTTCAAAGAAAACTGGTATCTTTAAGTATTTGTGTTCCACGGAACCAGTCAAAAAGATAAATGTAGGCACGGTTTTATTCAACAAGTCTATAGGAAAGCTTATAAACCTTTCATCAAAGATTTTATGTTGGTGTATATTGCGCTAACTACTTTATTTTAACTAAATTGAATGCTGAATCATTTAGTTACGGGACAACGTTATGTAGTAGAATGAAGAAGTATGCCTTTTAAACCAGGAATGTAGTTACAGAATAATTTCACAATAATGCCGAATATAGAATGTTCGGTGATATTGCTTCTTTAGAATTAAGAGATAATCCCCACACAGTTCTTCCAATAGTCAATGTGATTTAATTCCCTTCTTTATCATATTTATCATATGATATCTCGATTTTATGGGTGCTTATCTTCTGGATTGCTCATAGTGATTCGCTATTGACGTTGTCAAGAAGTCAACAGTATGTTGTAGACACAATCACTTTCGGGGAACCCACCGCTAACTTGAAGTTTATGAAGTAGGAATATATTCAGAATTATTCCTCTTTTTTAGTCTGTCACAAGGATGCCTCTAGAAGCCTTCGGTTTTTTGAATTTTTTAGTTAGTATATGTGCCAGTTCATGATGACATAAACCATAGGAAGAAAATTCGTTCACTTAAAAAAGAAAGACAAATGCTGCAAAATCAAAAGTCGTAAAAGTAAGCTCATATTGTAACCCAAACATTTTCAATTAAGTATTCATCATGGAATGACATCAGCTCAGATGGACAGTTAGATTCTCACACAGTAACTCAATGGCAACTTACTTGCCACGGAACCCGAAGATCCTGGGTTCGATCCCTAACAGATCATGGGTGTCCACTGATGAGGAGTCCCATACTAGGACGAAACGGCTCTCTAGTCCTCCTGGGTTTCCGACGTTCCTCTGAATGGTGTCAGTCCATGATGAATATCAACTTGAAATCAATAAATCCTTACAAACTCCCGAATTGAAGTTTCAAGTAGGCTTGAGGACCTCTATGAGAGTCTCAGTCGTCTTGAAAAGCCGGTCAACAGACTTCAAGAGGTCTGGATGCACAATTATAAAATGGCCAGTGATTATGTTTCTGGCTGGTTAGGAGATTCTAGATAATGGTATATCAACAACTGGGTGAAGATAAAACGGCTAGAGTCGAAGTTATCCAACCTCGGTTTTCGGGTAAACGTGTGTGATGAGATGACGAGTTTCGTCAGCTCGTATATGAATGCCGCGATGCTTTGTTCATGAGAACCATATTCTCATCCGAACGTGGGATTCATTTATTATGATACTGAACCTTTTTACAGGGACTATTTAGGGAAACACTTATCAAAAGTTGTCATTCGTAAGTTCAACTTTTGAAATGATTCACTGCCTTGGAGTTATTGGCGATTATCACAGATACAGCTATGAAAATAAGTCTGTGACAACCGACAAAATACTAATTGGAATATGACATTAGTCCCAAGACAGTGGAAACAGATTGAAGAGACATGTATGATGAGGGGAAATGCCTCAGTTAGTGAGCCAATGCTTACTCTTTCTCAAATTTAATAGATTGTTGCAACCAAGAGGTCATCGATGAGTTTCCGCTAGCAGGTGATAGTCCTGTAGGGAATAAGAGGTGGGAATGGAGACGAGACTAAGGATGTTGAAATTAGAAGCGCGCAAAATTCACTTGATAACGAAACAGCATGGAGTTGCATTTTGGTTTTCCAATACTGTATATAATTTTTCGCACTGCTACTAATGAAAACTCCCATACAGTTGTATCACACCTCGATAGAGATTTTATCCTTACTATCACATTTTTTAAATTTTACTAATTTAATGGTACAGAAACACCACACATATTTTGCTTACTAACTTTTGACCTTCTTAGCATAAAGCCTGCAACAGATTGTCGTGGTAAACGTGCTACGCAGTATCGATATAAACATCCGATCTTTTTCTGTGATAGTTCGGGGTATCTTAGAGTATTTTAAACTGTTCTACTTGTGTCTCACTTTGGAAAAAGTAATTTTTCACGCTTTTGACAAAATAGGCTTGTAAGTTTACAAAGTCGCATTAATCAGAAGATTTACCACAGTACTTTCACTACTAGATGCACACGTGTACTGTGGTGGTGGAGTTAATGGTTCTGATAACGGCAAAGTACATACTGTTATTAGACTTCTAACTTAGAAGTTCGAAAAGTGCAAACTCGATTCTGAGATTGATCCAGTGAAACTTTTGTAAAGAGCTCAATGCAAATAAGGCATTCAAACAGATGAAAACACAACGACGAACGTCTTTCGGGTGATACTTGGGAACGTCTAGGTAAAAACAGGCTGAATCCTACTATGGATTCACCAGAGACCTTCATGGCAACCGTTGCACTAATCAGGAGTACCAAAAGGTGCAACCTTGTAAAAGAAATGGAAAATTCCTTTCTAATCTTCAGAACACCCTTTAGAGGTTCAAGGGTCGGGGGAAATTAAAGAGGTCTAGATACAACCTGTATTCAGTGTGATAACCGATGGTATGCAGTGCTGCTAAAAGAAAACAGATTGAAGAGCAAACTAGATCGGAAATCTGGTAACCCTATTACTAGGAGTAACCTAAGAGACCGTCGAAGGTTTGACAAGGTACCTAATATTTTCATGAGCTACAGTCCCTGTCGGATGATATATGGATTATCCATGATTTAGACTCAACTCTAGTGTAATCACGATATAACACTCTTCCTGATGCGGGAAAGCATTGTAACAGTAAAGGTGCAGCATTATATTTCAGTGATTTGCTGAATGCTCGATCAGCCAGTACCATTACACACGAAAGTGAGATGTATGTGCTTGTCGGTCGGGAGTTCTTTGCTACCCCGAAGGATATATCTTCCTCATGAGTGTTATCTATCACAGTTCAGTTTCTCAAGCTCATGACTTTAAGCTAAAGCATGTCAGAAACTAACGTAGGTTCAGTCATGGTCCTATAGTTATTAACTTCGGAACACGTATCATAAACTGGGTTAAAATATCACTTTTGGGGTCCCGTATTCTATTCAATAATAAGCTTTTTCTATCTGTTATAAAGCGTGCACTGATACAGCACGTCTCTATTACCACATGCTGTTATTCCAATCGGGGATCTTGCTTATTAAATCTCGTGATAATGCATAAGGCAGATTAGTCCTCGCTGCATCAACGAATAATAAACATGAATTGCTTCCATTTTAGTAGAGAGTTTGCAATATCGTTTAAGTTAGTTTGTATTTGTGTAAGTCGCAGCGTATTTGTAATGGAATAATTCCAACGTTTCATACAATGCGAAACATCAGTTCTTTCTATTCACCAGTCTGGGGACTTTGGAGAAATTCAAAAAAAGCGCGCAGTCTAGAAAAAACAGGAACTAACCGTCATATTTAATTAAAAATGATTCGGTAACCCAAAGTTACTGCTTCAAGAGATTTCCCCATTCTTTTACCAAAAGGTTTGCTGGGGGTGCGGGTTTGATCAGACCCAGACTTCAGATATGTCGTCAAATGATAGATGGCTGTGAGTCTATATTAATCATTTTCCAACATGTCTCTGTGCTTATCAAGTCCTCTTTTGAAAAAAGCGATCGGCAATGCAGGCACCACTTCTTCTGGAAGTCGGTTCCAGGAGTTGACTACTCGACACCTGTACCCTACAGAGACTACGTTCGTCCTTTGCTGTTTTATTCTGCTAGCACATCCTGTAACGTGCTCCAAACTAGTGGGGGTTGGAGGAAGAAAAGAGAGGACAGATCAGGTCTAAAGTCATTTTTTAGAATTCAGTATAGCATGATTAGATCCCCTCTCTATGTGCGATAGGATAAAGAGAATAGGTCCAACCCCCCAAATCGACCTATGTAGGTCTGGCGAGCCATCTCAGGAACCATACTAGTGGATGCCCTCTACACTCTTCCCAGAGGTTCTGAGTCACATTCCAGACAAGGATTTGTCATCTGCATACCGTCTTCTTGTGTAGACCTGACTAAGAGCGTGTACAAGACGGTAAACATATCACCACTTATTTTGCAAACGTTCTGTGTAATGCTCTAAGTGCTTTACAACTCTGAGTTGTGCCGAATCATAAATGTCCCGTGGTTTTCAAATCATAGCTCACTACGACTCCTAGGTCATTGTGGGTCAGTGATGAGGGTAGATGAGTCCCACCAATATCGAAGGTGTTGTCACCTATGTGCCCCATGTGCCTGCTTACACATTTACCTGCATTGAAAGACACCAGCCACTTCTCTGGCCAGGTAACCAAGCTCTTTTGGTCTGTCTGAAGCACGTGTAAATTTTCATCGTTCCTAATTTCCCACCAGATTTTTACATAATCAGTGTACAGAATCATAGGAGATTTAGTGATGTTCGGCAGCTCATTTTTGTGTAGAAGAAATGGTACGTGACCCAGGACTGTTTCGTGGCACTCCACCTTCTATCAGCTTCAAGAAAGAGGGTTGAGAATTGATCCTTTTTCCTGGTCTTCTACCAAAAAGAAACTCTGTGATCAATGCAAGTAGATTCCCGGTGATCCAGACACTTACCAGTTCCCTCAGTAACTTGCAATAAGGTGCCCTGCTGAACACCTTTTTATGGTCCATGAAAATGACATCCAAGGGTATCCCTACATCCTTGGACTTAACCGAACTTTCTGATTGTAAGAAGGTTTATGAAGGAAGAGCAATTTCCGCGACAGCGAAGCTAAGAATGAGACAGTAGAGTATTGCTCTATAAGTGAGCTGTAATGGCCAGCTACATGGAGTTTAAGGTCTCTGGGCAGCCTTAGGTGCGGCTTATCTGAGTTCTCTAAGGGGCAGAGGAGGAGGACATTCGAAGATATCTTCAAATGTCCATATCTCTCGAAAACAGCTTTCGGCTTTACAAGACATTTGTGGCAATCCTCCAAGCTCCTTTCAACAACAAAAAAATGTTAGGGTGTGCGAAAATCCATCTCAGCTGTGATACAGATATTTGTAGCCTAGGCTATACGGTAGCTACTGCATATATGGTTTCAGTTTCAGTTTTCAGTTGTAAGGAATAGTAGGCCAGTTAGCCTGTGTTAGTCCTTGCGGAAGATATCTTGGTGAAGATCTAGTTTCTTTTTGAAAACGTTGAGAGAAAACCCTTATACTACTTACTGAGGTAAGGAGTTCCAGGCGTTGACTACAAGGTGGGAGAAACGTAGATTCACGCTGAGTTGATTCGAACGCAGTTTTGGAATTTTCTTGTGATGCCCTAAAATATAGTCAGACCTAGCAGGAGAGAAAAGATAGGACATATTAGTACCGAGGTCATTATTAGGAATACCAAATGCCAGTATGAGATCATCCCGTTTCCTACTGTAAGACAGTGGTTGCGTCATTGATATGTGTTCTAAGTCGAATACTCTTTTCTAGCCAACTTTTACAGACAAAGTTTTAGTTTCATACCTTGTGCTTTCATTCATTATGAATATTACGCAATACTTAAGACGGGTCGTGGATATCTGCATTTACGAGGGGAATTCAAAAAACGAGGCTTTACTGTAGTCAATGTCAATAACCTAGAAAAATTAAAATGGAATCGGAAAACAATTTGTAATCCGATGATAAACATCGTTCTTGTTTTCAGAACTAGTGTTTTATAATAGCAGGCTTGAAGTTTATGTTACTTCCTTACCTAGAGATTTTCAATATTCAAAATCTTCTTACGAGCTAGTGTAAACTAGTTGATTTCCGCGCACTCGCTTCTAGGTATTGCGGAATGGTTCGAAGTCTTTGGTGTATTCTGATGCAACAGGCCGGCCCACTTGCCTGCTGTGGACCTGGTCAGCACAAAAAGCGGTTAGGCGTTGCTTAAATTTGCAGGGATAGTGTGGTTTTCTCAGGTAGTGTGTTGCAGATGGGTTCCTTAAGTCTCATGTCACCAGACAGCTGATCGGGCCTGTCCCAATATCCAGTGTCTTTTTAAGGAGCTTGTGCAAACCAGTTGACTTCTTGCTCGCTCCTTGGTCTTGCAGAATGGTTTCAGGTCTTTGGCGGATTCCAATGCAGTAGATCCAGCCACTCGTCTGCTGTAGCTCTGATTTACAGAACAGGAAGTTAAGTGTTGGTTTGTTTGCCTTGGATTGTAGTGCAGTTGTCTTCTTCAGATGCAGGGTTTGCCAGGCGGTTGTTCAGACTGGTCGCTAGAGAGAGTCAGATATGGTGAAGAGAAAGCCTAGAAAAACAAGTTTGTGTGAGTAAAAGGGGAAAAGAGAAGCGAACTGATGGAGTGACCTACTTATACCCAAATAAGGCGACGAGGGGTGCGAAGATATGGGGAACTTAGGTAAGTGAGACTAACTCATGGCAAGTCGAAGGGGTGGAAGGGGCCTAAATTGATACAATAGAAAGAAAACTGGTTGTAGAGTTAAGATAACTGGGGTGGCTTGACATCAGTGGATTTCTTCCGTCTAGTTCGTGTTCCAGCTGAATGTGGGTAGACCGTGAGTCTCTGTGTGACTGTCCAGCCGCTTCGTGAAGCTTTCGACAGTTTGGGTGGAGACCAGTTCTGCTGGTAGTGCATTCCAGAACCCGCAGACATGGAGGGAGAAGAACTGAACGCACATGCGTTTTTGACCTTTGGTAGGCTATTCTCTTGGGGTTTCCCGAGGATCTCCATAATGGCTACTCGGTAGTATTCCTCTGTCCGGGTGGCTTGGGTTGTTCAGTATTTTGTAAGCCATTATTAAGTCGCCTCGTAACCTTCGGTAGCTAAAAGAGGATAGGCCTAGGTTTTTCAGTTTATCCTTATGTGGTTTTCGTTGCATTCCAACAACCCCTTTCGTGGCTCGCCTATGGACTTTTCCAGTAGGTTAGTGTCACTTTTCAGCTGTGGCGGAGCGAAGACGTTATGGACCTCTAGGTGGGGTCGTATGTAAGTCTTGTGGAGCTTCAGAAAGAGCCCTGGTGTGAGGGCACCTAGTTGTCTACGCACAAATTGTTGTACACCATATGCTTTTGTTGCATCACCTGGATAATTGGAGCTTGTGTCCAGTTTCTCCGTCACCGTTAAACCCAGGCCTTTTTCTACTGTGGTATGGGATATACGTGAACCATAGAGATAGTAGAATACTTTCCAAGGATCAGGAGTGCGGAGAAACACGGACCAGCACTTATCCAGGTTAAATGCCAGTTCGTTATTAGTTCCCCATTCCTCTAGTGTTTTGAGGTCGTTCTGTAATCCACTCGATTCCGCTTCGCAGGTTATTGCCCTCCATAACTTGACATCATCAGCGTATAGGAGAATCGGGAAGCTGATATGTTGGGGCAGGTCATTTAAGAACAGCAGCGACAACAGTGTACCCAGGGTGGCTCCTTGTGAGACACCGGATGATAATGTTCTCCGGGCTTAGTAGACCCTGTTAACTTTCGGGCAGAACTCCGTATAGTCTAAGCAGTTCTGCAGCCAAGATAGCACCTGGCTGAGTATACCTAATCCAGCCATCTTATTTATTGGGTCGTATAAGACAGCGTCAAAGGCTTTGGCGAAGTCCAGAAAAATTGTGTGGACCGGGACCATGAGATCCCAGCACGCTATCCAATGGTTGCGAGCCATCAGGAGGTTGGAGGCACAGAAACTATTTTTTCGGAACCCATGTTGACCGTTACGGAGTGCTTATTTCTTGTGCAGAAATTCCCCGATACGGTAGTGCATCACACTTTCTATAACTTTTGATATTACTGGTAGAAGTGCTATGAGCATATAACGGTTGAGATTCTGCCTGTCTCCTCCTTTGAAGATGGGAGAAAGGATAGCCCGTTTTCACTGTCGTGGAAGCTTTTGTTCATCCAAGGAGTGTTGGAAGAGGTTGCAGAGTGGGCCACTTAGGGTACTCGCACATTCTTTCAACGCATATGGGCGGATGTCGCCACACCCCGGGGATTTTCCCGCGCTTAGCTTTGATAGCTTGTCTTGAACAACAGCGCTAATTATCTGTATTTCTTGTAACTCAGCGGCATCGGACAACGTTGGGTGCTGTTCGGGCAGTTGGTATGCGTACTTTCCTGATGGAATGTTGAGCTGTGTGTCAAACGTGGTGCCCAGCATTTTAGCGATCTCCTGTCCAAAGAGGTTTCGTAAAAAGAAGATCGAAAAGATGCCCAGAGAAATCAGGGGAGAGGAAGTGCGAAAAAAAGAAAAAACAGTGTGAAAGGGGCAGGAACCTAAGTAGATTCGCGGGAAAAGAGGTGTGGAGAGAATGTTTATTATATGGTGTGCGAACATAGAGTCAGAGGGAGGTGAATAAACAAGTAAGATTATAGGGCGGCTTACGCGACTAAGGCTAGTAATACTATCGGTAGGTGACGGTAACTGGAGGTTGTGTCTTCATGGGGGTATAAAGTTTGGCCAGGTTCTTGATGACAGTGGCGTTATCAAAGATGCGGTAATGCGTTGGCCCCGCTGAGTTGTTCGGGGCTGGTGGGCTGCATCAACCCAGTCCATGTCCCAGCCGGATGAGCGCAGACTATGCATCACTGTGGAACTGTCCAACCTCTTCTTGAAGCTGTCAACTGGCGGAGCAGTAGCAGTCTCTGTAGGCAATGCGTTCCAGTGGCCACCAACTCCCGGATAGAAGTGCGAACGCACACGGGCTTCCGCTTTTCTTAGGAATATTCTCTTCACGTTGCCAAGAGGATCACCACAGTGGCCGTTCGGTAGGATTTCATCGTCCGGATGGCTTGGATTACTTGGTATTTTATAGGCCGTTATCAAGTCACCACGTAGTCTGCGGTAGCTAAGCGAGTAAGGTCCTAGGTCTTTCATTCTGTCCACGCAGAGTTTTTGCCTCACTCCCAAACACCCTTTGTTGCTCGCCCCTGGACTTTCTCAGGAGGGGTTACATCTATTTTCAGGTATGGTGGTGAAGCGATGCCCTGGACCTGCGAGTGAGGCCAACTGTAGGTTTTGTACAGCTTCAAGAAGAGTTCCGTAGTGAGGGCACCTAGTCATCTGCGCATGAAATGCGGTACTGCACAGGCTCTGGAGGCACCCCCTAAATAAATGAAGCAAGTGTCTAGCCCATCGGTGAGTATTAGTTCTCGGTCCTTCCCCGTGATCTTGTGGGAAAGTTGTGTTCCACAGAGAGAAGAGGGTACTTTCTGAGTGTCAGGGGTGCAGAGAAACATGGCCCAGCACTCATCCAGATCAAATGCTAGTCCGCTATCATTCACTCGCTCTGCAAGCAATCTGAGATCAATTTGCGGTGCACCTGATTCTTCTTCGGTTGTAGCAGCTCTCCACAGCTGAACATCGTCAGTGTTAAGTAGAATTAGGGAGCTGAGATTCAATTGTAGGAAGGAAGGAATAGCAGTGGACCCACAATCGCTTCTCCTGATACCCCAGATGACGATGCCCCTCAAGTCGGGCAAACCCTGTCGGTTTCTGCGCGAAGTTCTCTGCCGTCGAAATAGCCCAGTAGCCAGGAGATCCCCTGACCGCTGATACCCAGCCTCGAAGGGAACGTGAAGAACTCAACCGGTTCACACAAGCTTACTGAACAGGCGTTGGACATTCTGCGAATGGGGGTGGTTTGCGCGACTGTCAAATGCCTTGGCAGAAAATCCGGGCAAATAACATAAACAGGAGTTTGGTGGCCCAGCATGCCGTCCACTTATCACCGGCAGCCAGAAGGCTAGAGTCGCAGGACCTGCTCTTTCTGAAACCATGTTGAGCATCACTTAGTCCTCCCCTCTTTTCCAAGTACTCCCTGACATGCTTGTCTACCAGGCTTTCCACTAATTTTGATACCGCTGGTAGAAGTACCGTGGGTTAGTAGCATTTTGTGTTCCTCTGGTCCCCTTCCTTGAAGATGGGAGACAGAATGGCACATTTCTACCCTCGTGAAAGCATGTACTTATCTGAGGAGTGTTGAGACAGATTACGGAGCGGACCCTATATAGCATCGCTCATTGTTTCAATACAGTCGGCCGGATATCATCACACCCCAGTGATTTCCCTACACGGAGCTCTGACAGCTTTACGAGGACCATAGTGGGGGTCACCTTGGTCCCGGGCAACTCCACTGCACTTAGCAGTGCTGAGTGTTGGTCGGGCAGTTGGCGATTTCGGTTGTATGACGGCATGTGCACTTGTGTGTGGGAGGTGGGGCCAAAGGTTTCGGCGGTCTCTAGTTCAGAGAGGTTCATGCCTTTCAGGATTCAAACCCACTAGCTGCTTGAATCCTGCCTACCATGAATCGATGTGGGTTTCCTGGGGTTCGCTTGAAGCTTCTGGGCAAGGTGTGTCTGCAACGAACTCCTGTCCCCCCTCTCTTTGGTGTTGTATCGATTTCTTAGAGCCGTATGCGCGGTATGATCGGACCCTTCTCTAGAGATCCTCCACCCATGCCATACTTTCCTCTTGGCTTTAAAGAAATGTTCAGTGCCTCATTCAGTCATGAGGTTCACTTCGGTATTCTCTTGGCTGCCGAGACGTCTTCACAGATAGCCCTTTTGATGATACCCCTCACTTGTTCCCGATTTCGATCAAT